CGCCTCCAGTTTAGCTTTCACTCAGTCATCTGAATCCGGACCCACACCCCAGAAGTCTGCTGAAACTAGTCTTGCTGTCATTAGTGAAATCCTAGCTGCTGGATCCAGTCACTTCCCATTTATCTTCCTTGTTTTCTCCAGTATTTAACATTTTGATCATTCCTTTTCCTTGATAGCCTTTTTCCTTTAGCTGCAGTGACATCGTTCTTCTTGGTTTCTCTTCCTACTTCCCCAGCCCTTTCTCCCACTCACTGGCCAAGGGCCTCTCTTCTTTTACCAGTACCTTAAACGTTCTTGACTTTTAGAGGTCTATCCTTTTTCCTCTTAGGAGAGTTATTATTTTATTGAGTACCTACTATATGCCAGCCACTATATTAAAATGCTTTACACATTTATTCCTAACCCTTGCAACAACCCTAAAAAGATTGTTTTGTTTTCTGTGAAGTATAAATAAGGAAACTGAAGCTTAGTGAGTTTAAGTAATTTTCCTAAAGTTACACAGTAAGTGGCAAAGTTGGGAACTGAGCCTGAGCTAGCTTTGTTATGTAGCTAAAGTCGGCTGTTAACTGTGTGCCAGTGGCTCCTGCCACAGACTTTCTTTTTAGCTTGCAGCGTGTTTGTCCAACTGCCTCCCAGATATTTCCACCTGGAAGTCCTAGCAGCACCTCCAGCCCAACTCATCATCTTTCCTCAATCCCCATCCAGCCCCACATTGGTAGTGTACCATCTATCTAATCATGAAGGCCACAGTCTTAGGGTTGGTTTTAGCTTTGCCTCCACTCCACCCCTTCCACTCCTCAGCATCCAGTTGTTCCTACAGCCCGTTGTTTCTCCCCACTTTATTTCTCTGGAATTCACCTCAGGATATTCACTGTCACTTCCCTTGTTCAAGCTCTTTTTGTCTCTCTCCTAGACTGTTGTTCCTCAGCTCTTAATTTCTGTCTCTTCTACTCTCTTACCCTTCCAGTCCATTCACCACAAGGATACCAGAATGATCTCTCCTAAACCCAAATCTGATTGTGTTGCTATCTTGGTTAAAACCTCCCCACTGTCCTGTTCCTCACTCCATAGCTTATCTAAGGAGGCCTTGCCTTATTTTTCTAGACTCTTCTTCCAGTCTCTCACATACTGCAGATGTTTGTGGTTTCATGATACCAGCACACGTACTCATCTCTCTATGTAGTTCCATGCTGTTCCCTCTTTCTGGAAGGCCCTTTTCTTCCTGGTTGACCTGAGGAGCACCTTGCCATCTAATCCTTAAGAAATAGACAAGCAAAAAATATCCTCAGTTCAGAGAGAATACCTCAGCTTCTCGACCTTCACTGATTTCTGCTTTGCGAGGGGTTAGATGTTTCCTTTTTCCTGTTCTCCAAGTACCTTATGCGTGTATCTGCTGTAGAGCTTAGCACAGTGTATCATGATTGGTACACATGTTCATTTCCTTACAAGTGCTGTTCCTTCAAGGCAGAGACTTTTGTCGTGTTTACTTTTTTATCCATGGTATCTAGCATGTTGCCTGGGACATAGTGATTCAGTAACTGTTGAATATTAAAATAGTAGTAGCGTAGTTGTATATATGGACTAAGGCTTTGAAGAAAGACTGGGATTAAAGATTTATGCACATGAAGATGATGGTTAAAGCTAATAAGTAGATGATACTAACACCTTGATATTGTATGGCATCAAATAATTCACAAAGTATTTTCACAAATGCTTTATCTATTTTTGTTCCACCCAAAAGCACTGTGAGACAAGCAGGGCAGGCATGCATATTTGCATTTTAGAAATAAAGAAGCTGAAACTCAGAGAACTAAAATTGTGTGCTCAAGAATTATGTTGAGGCTGGGTGTGGTAGGTCATGCCTGTAATCCCAGCACTTTGGGAGGCCAAGGTGGCAGATCACCTGAGGTCAGGAGTTTGAGACTAGCCTGGCCAACATGGTGAAACCCCGTCTCTCCTAAAAATACAAAAATTAGCTGGGCATGTTGTCATACCTGTAATCCCAGCTACTCGGGAGGCTAAGGGACGAGAATCGCTTGAACCTGGGAGGCAGAGGTTGTAGTGAGCCGAGATGGCACCATTGCACTCTAGCCTAGGCAACAAGAGTGAAACTCTGTCTCAAAAAAAAAAAAAAAAAAAATTATGTTGAACAAAAGTGCCAGAATTGAGCCTTCTGCTATCAAGTCTAATGCTTCTCCTACTGCATCAGTACAGATACAGGAAATGTTTGGGAGATGAGAGACAAAGTTTGGAATACACCTACACTTAGATGGTAAGGGAAAGAAGTGTCTCAGAGGAGTTGGAAGATTGCCCCAAGGCATTACTGTGTTGTGAAGAACAAGTTTTCAGACACTGAGGGCATCATCAATGAGGTATTTTTGTGAATAGTAAGGAAAATAGGGAAGGATGAAAGAGTTTGACTACCAGGAAGTTAAGAGCATAATTTCATACAGTGAAACCACCTTGCCATCTGGTTAAGAAATACATGGGCATTGACAGAAATGGAGGCACACATGTCAACTGCCCTTTTTTTTTTTTTTTTGAGACGGAGTTTCGCTCTTGTTACCCAGGCTGGAGTGCAATGGTGCGATCTCGGCTCACCGCAACCTCCGCCTCCTGGGTTTAGGCAATTCTCCTGCCTCAGCCTCCTGAGTAGCTGGGATTACAGGCACGCGCCACCATGCCTAGCTAATTTTTTTGTATTTTTAGTAGAGACAGGGTTTCACCATGTTGACCAGGATGATCTCGATCTGTTGACCTTCTGATCCACCCGCCTCGGCCTCCGAAAGTGCTGGGATTACAGGCTTGAGCCACCGCGCCCGGCCAACTGCCTTTTTTTTTTTAAATTTTTAAAAATTATTTTTCTTTTCTCCTTTCTTTTCTAAATCATCCAGCCCAAAATGTTATTTTTTTTTTTCTGTAACCTAGGCTGGAGTACAGTGGTATGATCACAGCTCACTGCAGCCTCAGCCTCCCAGACTCAAGTGATCTTCTCAGCCTCCTAAGTACTGGGACTATAGGCATGTGCCACCACACCTGGCTAACTTTTGTATTTTTTGTAGAGATAGGGTTTTACCATGTTGCCCAGGCTGGTATTTTCTTTATTAATATTTTTATTGCTATTATTGTTTATCTACTTTTTCTTCCCCCCTTTTTTTCTTTCTTGAGACTGGGTCTGGTTCTGTCCGCTAGACTGGAGTGCAGTAGCAATTGTAGCTCATTGTAATCTTGAACTCCTGGGCTCAAGCGATCTTACTTCAGTTTCCCAGATAGCTGGGACTATAGCTGTGTGTCACCATTTTGTGGTTTTGTTTGTTTGTTTTTGGTAGAGATAGGGTCTTACTGTGTTACAAGGTGGTCTCGAACTCCTGGTCTCAAGTGATCCTCCTGCTTTGGTCTCCCAAAGTGATGGGATTACAAGCATGAGCCACCACACTCAGTCTTCTTCTTCTTCTTCTTTTTTTTTAAACAGGCTCAATTTACTTTATTGTTCTTGTGTAAAATCCTTATGTTATAGCCACAGTTACAGCCTGGGTCCTCTGCACAGAGACTGGTGAAATGGTCAGTGAATTCCTGATAGGGAGACTTAGTGAATACAGTCTCTTTCCAGAGATCAGGGGTCAGGTCTTAAAGGTGGCCTTAAGGATGGCTTTGTCCAGGGTAGCAGTGCAGCCCCTGGTAGAGGTGTAGCAGTTGTCGGTACCAGCCATCAGCAGCAGTTTGCTGGGCATAGGGGTCAAGATGATGCCAGTGTCTGGGGTGGGGGGTGGGGAAGGAATAAGGTGCACCAGCGCAGAGCCACAGCAGCCTGTCACCTTGCAAGGGACAGCGTGGGGCTTGCTGATCTTGTTCCCTCAGTGGCCTCTCCACATAGGGACAGTGGAGAGCTTGGCCAGGATCATGGGCCCTTGGATGACATTGGCAATCTCCCTGGAACACTGAACATCCAGACTGATGTGGCCCCTGTAGTCCCCAATGGCCTTGAACCTGGTGTGCTGGCCAGTGCGGGTCTGCCTTTGCAGAGGTGTAGTCTTCAAAACCTCATCCTTGAGAAGTGACCCCAGCAAACAGTCAGTGATCTCAGATTCTTTGATGGGCAGGGAGAAGAGCTAGATCTCCTCCAGGGACTTGATCTTCGTGTCCCGGACTAGGCAGCCCAGCCTGGTGATGGGCATCCACTCCTTCTTCTCAGCCTTGCCTCAGAGCTCCATGTCCTCAGCCCACCCACAGCCATGACCCTGGCCCCCATATCTCTGTCAAACAAAGCCTCTGAGGAAGCTGCTGGGCCTCCCATTCCAGGCCCTCCAGGCCATCCGCTGCATTAGAGTTATTGGCCATTTGGTATTTGTCAGAGAAGCAGCTCTCTTTTTTTTTTCCCTTAACCTTCTACCGTGAGGTGAAGAATTGATTCCCCTTTCAAGAAGTTTGATGGTGAAAGGAAACAAGAGGCTGGTAGTTTGAGAATTATCACACCACCAAATATTCCAAGAAATTTGCAATATTTAGTTGTCATTTTGTTGGCTTGAAAATATGCAGTGGAAACAATCTAGGGAAATACTGTTTGATGATTAAGTATGTAAATTTCAAGATGTTTTAGACTCAATTTAATAGTGATCAGTTCCAATCAAATTGTAGTACTAGAGGTCAAGGTGTTTAGTCAAGCCTTAAAGTTGAGATTTTATTTGAATACAGATAGCTGTAACAGTATAATGTACTTTTAGCAGATAGGTGTATATAGAGTCTAAAAACACTCTTGTATTCATTTAGAATATTTACATACATATAGACTGATTTCTTCGCCATAAATCATTATGTGTTGTCCAGGTATGATTTGATCAATAATAAGGTTTTGCCACTTTGCTACTAGAGGCTGTTCTTCTGTGTTTATAATGAAAACCCATCTGTATTGTCCACACGTCTTGGGAGCGGAGCTCTGGGTGGGGGAGTTAAGCCCTGGGCAGCTTTTTTGTCCTGTTGATGAGGTGTCTTCTGTCTGCCAGGTAAAGCGGTACCAATGTACCTTTGAGGGCTGTCCCCGCACCTATAGCACAGCAGGCAACCTGCGAACCCACCAGAAGACACATCGAGGAGAGTACACCTTTGTCTGTAATCAGGAGGGCTGTGGCAAGGCCTTCCTTACCTCTTACAGCCTCAGGATCCACGTGCGAGTGCACACGAAGGAGAAGCCATTTGAGTGCGACGTGCAGGGCTGTGAGAAGGCCTTCAACACACTGTACAGGTCAGCCTCGTCTCCACTGCTCCCCCAGCCTCTGACCTTGACCTCGTTGTGACTACAGAGCTCCTTCTCCTTTCAGAGGAGAGTTGTTCACTTTCAGGGCTTTAAAAGAGCACAGCTCTGTTCAACTGTGTAAAATTCATTTCTGCCAGATCTCAGAAAATGAAAGAAAAAATTTTAAAAACGCGTTAGAGAAACTTGTTACTTAAAGATGGACATGTCTTGGGCTGGTTAGGAGTGACAGTACATTTATGTTTACATTTGCATCTCATGGAGCAGCATTCTGGCCTGGGCATTTTAGTGCTTGGCATAGAGTACTCTCTCTCCTTGGCTCAGGATCTTTGTAGTAAGGCTTCTGTAGTCTTCTTTCCTACCTCACCTTGAAGGACTTTTCTATCCTGAGAATTGGCGAGTGGCCCATTCAGTAGCCAATTGTCTTTTCCACATTTGTATCAGGAGACTTATTAGTCTTCAATGTTGAGTATAAAGTGACAGAAATAACAATAGCTAACACTTAAAAAATACTCACTGTGTGCTAGGCATGATTTTAAGTGCTGATCCCCACAACAGCTGGTAAGTAAATGGGAGTGCAGAGGGGTTCTATAACTAGCTCAAGTTTCCCCAGCCAAGCAGGATCTGGGACCAGGATTTGAATTCCCAGAAGTCTGTCTCCAGAGTTAACACTCTTAGCACTATGCTATTCTCTGAATTTCTTTTGGGGCAAAATATGTTGTATACTAATATGTTATGGGTATAGAATTCTTACACACTTGATCCTGAAGCACATTAAGCTGGCATGGGGAGGCTGTGTAGAACTTTATGATAAAGGGAGGCCGGGCATGGTGGCTCACGCCTGTGATCCCAGTACTTTGGGAGGCCAAGTTGGGCCGATCACCTGAGGTCAGGAGTTCAAGACCAGCCTGGCCAACATGGTAAAACCCCATGTCTACTAAAAATACAAAAATTAGCTGGGCATGGTGGTGGGCACCTGTAATCCCAGGTACTGGGGAGGCTGAGGCAGGAGAACTGCTTGAACCCAGAACCCAGGAGGTGGATGTTTCAGTAAGCTGAGATCACGTCATTGCACTCCAGCCCAGGCGACAAGAGCGAAACTCCATCTCAAAAAAAAAAAAAAAAAAAAAAAAAAAAAGAACTTTATGACAAAGGGAATTTCTCTGGGATATTCTGCAGGCTGAAAGCACATCAGAGGCTTCACACAGGGAAAACGTTTAACTGTGAATCTGAAGGCTGCAGCAAATACTTCACCACACTCAGTGATCTGAGGAAGCACATTCGAACCCATACAGGGGAAAAGCCATTTCGGTAAGTCTTACGGTTTTCTGTTTGTCACTGACCAGGTTTCAGCTGGGGGTCTTGATATACTCTGAAATTTTTCAAGAGAGAAAGAAAACTTCATTTACTAGCTCTTTCTTTGGCATTGTTAGCTCACCCCAGGATAGCTATAACCAACCACTGCAGATTAGAGGGGTGCTGGTGGAGTCCAAGAACACCCTTACTCTGTGGGTGATGGCCTTTCCACATCATTTTTTCCATTTATTTTTGAGAAGCATTTGTTGAAACTTACTCATGTGGTAGGTACTTTTATTAGTGCTAGAGAAATACTCAGAAGCAGGCTTTCTTCTCAAGAACCTTTGGTGTCAAAGAACCACAAATTTGTGGGTAATATCTGAGGCTGCAGGATTCCCAAAGTGCCTTGAGCCCAGAGAAGGGGTACCTACCTGAGAATCAAGGAGGGCAGCGGGTGAGGAGACGAGAGGAAATGAGAGGTAGGAATGCTTAGCTTAGTGGTGCCATTGTTACTTGTTCAAATTATTGCTTTGTAATACCTTGTGTATACACAAACATATAGGAGCATCCATTTTTATTCATATATGTCAACATATGTTTATCTAATAGATACATGTACTGTGTACTATAAACTTGAAGGAGGTACTTGGGTTATCTGCTTTCTTCTCTGCTCATAGTATGTAGCATGATTCTGGGCATTCAGTAGGTATTCAGAACCATCTTTGGGATTATTATATGACATTTTTAATGAGATAATCAGTTTGTAAAGATTTCCGATAAATGTAATATAGATAGATGTATTGCAGAAAACTGCCCATAAACAATGTCTTTGAGGCTGGGCATGGTGGCTCATGCCTGTAATCCCAGCACTTTGGGAGGCTGAGGCAGGCGGATCACTTGAGATTAGGCGTTCAAGACCAGCCTGGCCAACATGGTGAAACACCATCTCTGCTAAAAATACAAAAATTAGCCAGGCATGGTGGCGCACACCTGTAATCCCAGCTACTCTGGAGGCTGAGGCAGGAGAATTGCTGGAAACCGAGAGATGGAGGTTGCAGTGAGCTGAGATCGTGCCACTGCACTACAGCCTAGGCAACAGAGTGAGATTCTGTCTCAAATAAAAATAAAAATAATAAACAGTGTCTTTGAATTTTGGCAAGGAATATCACAGTTCTATTCAAGGCATTAAATATGTACCTGTTCCTTTTCAAACCACTCATCTCATTAGGGTACTTAGAAACAAAAAGTCTTCAGAGACAGTCAGCTCTTAGATACCAATCAAATGGAATTGTGGGCTTGGTGTGGCAGCTTATGCCTGTAATCCCAGCACTTTGGGAGACTGAGGTGGGAGGATCACTTGAGCCCAGGAGTTCTGAGACCAGCCTGGTCAACATAATGAGATCCCAAGTCTACAAAAAAATTTTAAAATTAGTTGGGAGTAGTGGCACATGCCTGTGGTCCCAGAGATTTAGGAGGCTGAGATGGGAGGATCGCTTGAGCCTGGGAGGTTGAGGCTGTAGTGAGCCATGGTCATGTCACTGCACTGCAGCCAGAACAGAGAGAGACCATGTCTCAGGAAAAAAAAAAAAAAAAAGTTTTGTTTTTTAAATTTATAGATGGATTCCTGAGTCATGATCCCTTTAAGGGCAAGAGTAGTTAGATTGTAATTGTTTACTCTACAGATGGATGCTCTGAAGCTTAGGTTATTCTTTTTCCCCCATAGGCTGCTGAGAGAACTCTGATTTCTATCCAGTCACATGCATTTATTTTTATGATTAAAACTGCGTTTTTTTGAATATTCAGTAAGACTTTAGACATGATGATGATTATATGTAATTAAAAATGAACATGCTTTAGAGAAGCTTTCTATTTAAAGAAAATATTTTGGTTTATAAGAAAATGCATTCATTCATATAAGTAATTAAGGAATGTCTGCTGTGTGCTGGAACTACAGAAAGAGCTACGTGGATCCTGTGCTCAAGTAGTTTACACTCTAGGAGAACACATAGCAGATGTATCCACGGAGGTAAAATAAGATTGGAAATGAGAGGTGGCATAAAAGAAATGTGAAGAAATGCCTTAGGAGCTCTGAGGAGGGAAAGATTTCTTCTAGCTTTGGTTATCAAGACAGTAAAAGAGAATGAAGTAGATCTCAACGCACAAGATTATAGATAAGTTACTTGAGCCTGTCTTCTGATTGATTTTTTATATTTCAAGCCCTGTGCATATTCGAGAGCCACTTTGCTCACTCTTGATATTCCTAATGTTCCATTGGCAGTAAATTTTTCATATGGACTGTCACTGTCAATAGAGATCTGTTAAGTAATTCATCAAAAGACTTCTGTTGTCAGGGCTCTCAGCGTGGGCCTTACCTGTAGAACAGGAAGTATTTATCCTGGGCACTCAGTTCCCTCTGATCCCAGATACACCACCTTACTTTTTTAAGGACCTCTCATCATTCCCGTCTCTAAAACCAGTGTCATCAATCTGATCCTAGTGTTCTGAATATTTGTTTTAGTTTGTATTTGTAAGAGATGTTCAGAATAAAGGCCTATTAGCTAATGACTCCTGTTTCTCTTTCCTTAAACAACAAATTTAGGTGCGATCACGATGGCTGTGGAAAAGCATTTGCAGCAAGCCACCACCTTAAAACTCATGTCCGTACACATACTGGTGAGTTTAGGCCAATTTTTATTTTTTTATTTTAACCATCATCAAGCCTGTATCTATCAGTATTTCTATTGAGACCTGTAGAGCTAGGTAAATTTACAGAGATATATATCCTGTATATATACAGGTGAGCCTAATTAGCTTAGCCTTACCTGGAATGTTTGAGTTTCTTTCAGAGGTGGACCTCAAGTATTCAGCCTTAAGAAATGAAACCGGCCAGGTGCGGTGGCTCACACCTGTAATCCCAGCACTTTGGGAGGCCGAGGTGGGTAGATCACAAGGTCAGGAGTTCAAGACCAGCCTGGCTAAGATGGTGAAACCCTGTCTCTACTAAAAGTACAAAAAATTAGCCGGCCATGGTGGTGGGCCCCTGTAATCCTAGCTACTTGGGAGGCTGAGGCAGAGAATTACTTGAACCCAAGAGGCGGAGGTTGAGCCGAGATCATGCCACTGCATTACAGCCTGGGTGACAAAACGAGACTGTCTCAAAAAGAAATGAAACCAATACAGAGATACTCTAAAAAAGCAACTTGTGAGAAATGAATCTTCTCTTTTAACTTCCCAGCAGCAGCCATTCCCAGTGCTTTGCTCTGCCTTGAGTTTTAGGACTGAGATGATTAACATGTAATTTATTCAACTTTTAACAACTGTTACCCAAACTCTCTTAATAATACTTACTTTCCTCTGTTAGGGAAAAGTAGATTTCTTAATCCAGTTCAATGACTTTATGGTAAATTAACACTACTTTGTTATTCTTGCAGGTGAAAGACCCTTCTTCTGCCCCAGTAATGGCTGTGAGAAAACATTCAGCACTCAATACAGTCTCAAAAGTCACATGAAAGGTCATGATAACAAAGGAAACTCATACAGTGCACTTCCACAACACAATGGATTAGAGGTATGTGGTGTTTTTGTCTCTTGATCTGAGTACCACAGATCATCAACAGTTGTTTGTGTATCATGGTCAAAGATTAAAATGTCTTCTCTGTGTGTCTATTAGTGAGAAGGAAGAAGTCAGGGTCAAGATCAGTGTCTTGACTTGCTTATTCAACCACCTACTCAACGTCTCCACCCAGATACCATCTACTCTTATCAAACTTACCATGTCCAAACCTGTTCTTCCTGCAGCCTTTTTCATCTTGGTAAATGGCAGCTCTGGTTTTCTAGTGGCAGAGGCCAAAAATCTTATAGTCATTCTTGAGTCCTTTTTTTCCCTCACACTCCACATCTGCCAGCAAAGTCTACCAGCTCGCCCTTGATAATTTATCTAGAATCCGATCATTTCTTCTGATTATTTTGTTTAGTCTACTATTGTCTTTTTGCCTGGATTATTGCAATAACCAGTTAAATGGGGTTCATAGGACCTCTTCCGCCTCTGCTCTGTAACACACTGTTCTACATATGTCAGCCAGAGCGATCTTTATGAACCATAAAGCAGATAATATCTGTCCTCTGCTCATAACCCTCCAGTAGCTTTCTAAATTTTTACTTATTTTTATAGATTTTTTTTTTTTTTTTGAGACAGAGTTTCGCTCTTGTTGCCCAGGCTGGAGTGCAATGGCGCGATCTCAGCTCACCGCAACCTCTGCCTCCTGGGTTCAGGCAATTCTCCTGCCTTAGCCTCCTGAGTAGCTGGGATTACAGGCATGCACCACCATGCCCAGCTAATTTTTTGTATTTTTAGTAGAGACGGGGTTTCACCATGTTGACCAGGATGGTCTCGATCTTTTGACCTCATGATCCACCTGCCTCAGCCTCCCAAAGTGCTGGGATTACAAGCGTGAGCCACTGTGCCCAGCCTATTTTTATAGATTTTTGAAAATTATTTTAACATAGAGATGAGCTCCAAGCAGTCTCTCCGATCCCCACCACCACCACCACGCCCGCCCCCCATCTCAGCCTCCCAAAATGCTGGGATTACAGGCATGAGCCACCCCACCTGGCCTCCAGTAGCTTCTAGCTTCTTGTATCAATGGAAATAAAAGTCAGAGTCTTTATAGTAGTTTACAGGGCCCTACACCTTCTGGCCTGGTTGCTTCTCTGATCTCATCTATCTCTCTTTTATTTTTGTTTTATTTTATTTGAAACAGGGTCTTGCTCGGTCACGTAGGCTGGCGTACAGTGGTGCAGTCTTTGCTCACTGTGACCTCTACCTCCCTGGCTCAGGGATCCTCCTGAATAGCTGGGACCACAGGCATGCGCCACCACACTCAGATTTTTTTTTGTATCTTTAGCAGAGATGGGGTCTTCACCATGTTGCCTAGGCCAGTCTTGCTCTCCTGAGCTCAAGTGATCTATCTGCCTTGGCCTCCCAAAGTGCTGGGATTACAGGTGTGAGCCACTGCACCCAGCCTACTTTTTTCTTCCTTTCACTTCAGCCATATAGTCCTCTTTGTGGTTTCTTGAACCAAGGAGTGCCCTCTCGTGCCCCTAGGCCTTTATACTTGCTATACCCTCTGCTTGGAACATCTTCCCCAGATATGTGCACAGCCCATACCCTCTTTCCTTCACTCTCTACTCAAATGCCACTTACCTAAGAGGGCTTTCCTAACCATCCAATAAGAGCAATCCTACTCCAGAGTTCCCTACTCCCCTTACTCTCTGTAACACTTATCCTCTCAATTGTATGTTTATTTGTTTTTTTGTCCTGTCTCTCCGCAAGAACGTAAGCTCTTTGAGGGAAGGACTTCAGTTGATTCACTATTGTATCCCTGGGCCTGGAACAGCATCTGTTACATAGTAGATGCATCATGAATGTTTGTTGAGTGTGTGCATGAATAGGAGCATTTAGGGCCACCACCTAAAATGTGCATTGGGACTGGCATTCTGGGAATCCAGAGTTCCCTTAGCTTGGGTAGTGGGATTTGAGTACTGAATCCCCAGCACCACTCTGAGTAAGGAGCCCTTCAGTGCCCACGTGGGAGACATAGTCATGGAAGGAACATTGACTTTTCAGTCAGAAGCACTGGATTTGTCTTCTGCTAATTAGCTATGTGTTTTGGGGCACTTTGTTCCCAATGTCTGAGCATCAGTTTTCTTATATTTAAAATGGGAATGTAAGTTTGTGGCAATTTGTTACAAAAAGAATTAAAAAATAGGGATATAGAATAATACTGCCAAGGTTTATATGAATGGCAAATGAGGTCATGTGAAATCACTGTAAATGATGAGACCAAATATACAGATAGTATTAATTTCACATTATTATAGGTTTGTTACTCTGGAGCTTTAGTCGTGAAATAATGTTAAAACTCTTTATTAATCACCTTTAAGAAATGAAGAAACATAACAGATTCTTCTAAGAATATCAGGATTTTTAAAAATTAACTGATTCACTTAGTCCTTGCTTTGGTTGGCTTATACTTCTTCAGATAACACATGTAGACATGTGGAACATTAGGGACTTTGTAGTCAAGTGCTTTATTACATGATATTCCACTATACATCCTGGTTTTTGTTACTCAATTAGACTTTTTTCTCTTTCACAGGATACAAATCACTCACTTTGTCTGAGTGACTTGAGCCTTCTGTCCACAGATTCTGAATTGCGAGAAAATTCCAGTATGGTAAGTGTAACTGTAATATCTATGCTAGAAAAATAAGGGCAAGAACTGAGCACTCCTTTGGTGGGAAAATTGAGGCAGGCCAGTCTTTGATGTTTTCTAGATTTAACTGTGTTTAATTACTGACTGTATAGGATTTTTTTTTCTTCTCCTGATAAGAGTTCTATTAGGAGAGGCTTTTCTCTCTGATGCCTGTTACCTTTTGATCCAGGTCACTCACTCAGTAACCTCCTGGCCCCAGAAAATTTCTATTTTTACTCATTTAGCAACTGTTTATTGACCAGGCACTGTGCCAGTACTGAGCTTATAGTGGTAAAAAAGTTGGTATAGTTTGTCCTTGAGGAACTTAACATCTAGTACTGTAAGACATAGCCAGGATTCTAGTTTCTGGACTTTCTCAAACCCTGTCTGTCCCACCTGGCTTGGTCCTTTCCCTTTTTAATTTTAATTTTGTTTTTTATTTGTTTTATGCCATGGGGAGAGAAAATTTGCCCTTTTAAAACTTACTAGTGTTTTGAAGAAACCTCTTATACAGGCCTTTATCTGCTAAAGGACAAACCCACTTTGTCTTAATCTGATTGCTTTGATTCAAGCTGTTAGGAAATTTTACTGCCATTCCCATTGGCTCCATGATGCACCTTACAAACCACTGCATTGAGTCTGAGCTTATGCAGCCTCCACTTTGTTGAACGTGAGAGTTTTGCAGTATTGCTAACACTAATTTTGAGTTTGGGTTTTTTGTTGTCATTTTTCCTGGTAAATAAATATAGCATAGGGTATATTATCTGTGATTATGTGCACGATGAATAAATGTGATGGGAATTACTTGAACAGAGACTGAATGATTCAGGAATGCTGTGAAAAAGTGTTTTGTTTTGTTTTGTTTTGTTTTGTTTTGTTTTTGTTTTTTCCAATGTGTGATTAGTGGAATCAACTACAGCACTTCTAAAATTGTAGGTTCTTGGGCCTCCCCACAAACCTGCTGAGTCAGCAAGTCTGACTGTGGCGTCTGAACCTGCATTTTTATATAAGCACTCCAAGGCCTAATTCTCCTTCTGGTAGTGGCAGAGTTGTTCTTATGAGACCAACTCTTCCGCAGAAAACACCAAAAATGCTAGACAAAATATAGAAAGCAACTAAGGGAAGGCACTGGTGAGCAACCAACAGCAGGCTGAGGTAACCTTGGAAGAAGGGATTGCTCAGAAGATAGTAAAAGCACCGGGTAGGCTTGCAGGTTTTATGGCTTATCCACCTTGGGCAAGCCCCAGCTGGCACCTAATGAGGCAGTCAAACTCATAAAAACTCAGTCTTACTGGCTTGAATAACCAGAGGACAGAGTTCAGGGTCACAGCACCTGGAAAGTGAAGGCCGGTAGCATGGAAAGGAAAGAGTCAGGAAGGGGGAGCCCCAAGTTCGGGGTTTAAACTCTCTTCAAATCTCTGGCTGACCCCTGAACCATGGATGTGCGGGATGTGGGTTGGGACAGCCCAGCCAATCCTAAAAAGAACTACACAAAGATCACAGCTCCATCCACTGCAAGGGAGATGAAGTTAATGGAATATTCAAACAAGTCAGCACTATTTCAAGAAGTGTAACAGAATCCAGAGTGTCTACAGTATATCATTTGCAATGTGCAGAGCAATCCCAAATTAGTAAACAGGTGAAGAAACAGGAAAACATGATTGCCGTTTAAGAGAAAAGGTAATCTGTGGAGATGGACCCCAAGATGACCTATCTAATGTTAAAATTAACAGACAAGGATTATTTTTATTTTTATTTTTTATGGGACAAGGATTTTTAAGAGTTATTATATGCTTAAGGACATAAAGGAATATGCTGATAATGATCTAACAAATAGGAAATCTCAGCAGAGGAATATAAATGTAAAAGAAGTCCCAAATGGAAATCCAAAATAGAAAAATATAGCTGAAGTAATTGACTGGATGGGGCTTAACAGCAGACTGGAATGAAAGAAGAATGAGTCAGTTAAGTTGAAGATCGAACAATAGAAATGAATCAGTCTAAAGAACAAAGAGAAAAAGAGTAATTGGGTACATCATATGATTTTTATACATATTCCTATTTCACAACTAATGTTATAAAAGAAATTTCTGCACTGGGTGGCCTAGATGCCCTCTAAGTACCCAGCTTAAGATTTCTGGGAAGAATATCCCTTTACATGTAACTGTGTTAAATAGCTTAGGAGTCTCTTCTCTGGCCAAGACTATGACATATGAGTAAGGAGCTTTCTGGAGCCCTAGGGTCACAAAGAAAATACTCTGGTATAAGAAGACATTAAGTACTTATAAAAAAGGGAAACCAGCCGGGTGCGGTGGCTCATGCCTGTAATCCCAGCACCTTGGGAGGCTGAGGCGGGTGGATCGCCTGAGGTCGGGAGTTTGAGACCAGCCTGACCAACATGGAGAAACTCCATCTCTACTAAAAATACAAAATTAGCCAGGCATGGTGGCACATGCCTGTAATCCCAGCTACTTGGGAGACTGCAGCAGGAGAACTGCTTGAACCTGGGAGGCAGAGGTTGCAGGTTGCGGTAAGCTGAGATCATGCCATTGCACTCCAGCCTGGGCAACAAGAGCAAAACGCCATCTCAAAAAAAAATAATAATAAATAAAATAAATAAATAAGCCTTTTCTATCACAATTTCTATAATCAAGAGAGAGAAGCACTATCCCTTGGGGTTTTATTATAGATTATGTTCCTGGAACCCAGTATTTATTTCAGATATGGAAATTCATTTTAGCCTTTCAAACTAAGGCCACAATTCCTTGAAGCAATAGGATTCATTTTTCTCTCCTTGAAAAAAGAAATTAGGGGCATGTGCAGTAGCTCATGCCTGTAATCCCAGCACTTTGGGAAGCTGAGGCAGGTGGATTGCTTGAGCCCAGGAGTTTGAGACCAGTCTGGGCAACACAATGAGACCTCATCTCTACTAAAAATAAAATATTAGCTGGGTGTGGTGGTGCATATCTGTGGTCTCAGGTGTTTGGGAGGCTGAGGCAAAATATTGCTTGAGCCCCGGAGTGAGCCATGATCACACCACTGCATTCCAGCCTGGGCAATAGAGCAAGACCCTGTCTCAAAAGAAAAAGAAAGAGAATCAGGACTTGCTAACATCAAATGTAAATTTATATGAGATAATGATGTTATGGGTTTCTGAGCAGTCACATGTGAATGCATGTCCTAGAAATGAACTTGGTTTGCTCAGATCTTTTGTTAAAGGAGGGTTGAAGGTGCTAGGGAATGGCCTTCTCTCTGTCTTTTGGCTGCACACCTCCAGGATCCATCCTGGTCACAGACAGCTACCTGTATTCTCCTCTTCTTGCTGGAAAGCTCAGCCTGTTCTTGTCTTCTCTGCTTGTGAAAGTTGTTCCTATCCACTTAGCTCCCAGTGTTTTTGCCCTGAAGCTTGGCAGGGACTTCAGCATTTTCCTTTTAAAAAAATCTTGACAAGCTTTTTATTGAGGTACAATATACACCCAGAAAAGTACATGTATTATAAATGTGTGCAGCTTGATGAATCATCACAATTCATCACACTTAGGTAACCAGCACCCCAATCAAAAAGAACATTCCCAGCCGGGTGTGGTGGCTCATGCCTGTGATCCCAGCAATTTGGGAGGCCGAGGTGGGCGGATCAACTGAGGTCAGGAGTTCAAGATCAGCCTGGCTGACATGGCAAAACCCAGTCTCTACTAAAAATACAAAAATTAGCCGTGTGTGGTAGTGGGGGCTACTCAGGAGGCCGAGGCAGGAGAATCACTTGAACCTGGGAGATAGAGGTTGCAGTGAGCTGAGATCGTGCCATTGCTCTCCAGCCTGGGCAACAAGATAGAAACTCCATCTCAAAACAAAACAAAAGAACATCCTCAGCACCTCAGAGCTCCTCCCTCACAACTGCATACTCCCAAAAGCTATGATTTCTCCCAGCAGACAGCCACTTTTCTACTTCTAACAACTAAGATTAGTTTTTCCTGTTTGTTTTTGCTTTTATGATTGGAATCATATACTTGTTTATGCCTGGCTTTTTTCTCATAACATTATGTTTAAGAAATTAAGCCATATTGTTACATATAGTTATAGATCATTCATTCTTGCTGTTGAACAGTATTATACTTAGGGAATATACCACAATACCCTAAATGAATATACCAATATTTGTTCTTTCGCCTGTTGGACATTTGGATACTTTCTAGTTTGGAGCCATTATGAATAGTGCTGCTGTGAACATTTTTGTACATATGTGTTGGAAGCATACAAGCCCACTCCTTTTCTTCTTCCGAATATTGAGGTATTAGGTTGGTCAAAAGTAATTGCCATTGAAAGTAATGGCAAAGACCACAATCACTTTTGTACCAACCTAATATCATTGATAAATATAGCTCATTCCTTTTTAATTGGGTTACTACCTATAATGATTTATAAACAGATAGAACAAAAATAATAATTAAGAGGAGGTAGTTAATGCCCAAGAGTAGTTGTTAGTCAGCTATTTTTCAAACTGGATTGCACCTTTTTATTGGGTTTTAAAATAGTGGTTTATAATCAGCATTTCAAAGACATCAATAGAATAGAAAAAAAAGCCGGGCGCGGTGGCTCAAGCCTGTAATCCCAGCACTTTGGGAGGCCGAGGCGGGTGGATCACGAGGTCGAGAGATCGAGACCATCCTGGTCAACATGGTGAAACCCCGTCTCTACTAAAAATACAAAAAACTAGCTGGGCGTGGTGGCACGTGCCTGTAATCCCAGCTACTCAGGAGGCTGAGGCAGGAGAATTGCCTGAACCCAGGAGGCGGAGGTTGCGGTGAGCCGAGATCGCGCCATTGCACTCCAGCCTGGGTAACAAGAGCAAAACTCCGTCTCAAAAAAAAAAAAAAAAAAAAAAAGAAAAAAAATTGGCTGGAGCTGGGCAAGGTGGATCATGCCTGTAATCTCAGCACTTGGGGAGGCTGAGGCAGGCAGATCATGAGGTCAGAAGCTCGAGACCAGCCTGGCCAACATGGTGAAACCCCATCTCTACGAAAAATACAAACATTAGCTGGGTATGGTGGCTCGCGTCTATAATCCCAGCTACTTGGAAGGCTGAGGCAGGAGAATCACTTGAACCTGGGAGGCGGAGATTGCAGTGAGCTGAGATTGCACTACTGCACTGCAGCCTGGGGGACAGAGGGCGACTCCCTCTCAAAAAAAAAAAGAAAAAGAAAAAAGAAAAAAATCAGAGGACGTTGCACATAGTAAGGATAAAGTCTGTTTTACAGACTCGTTTTAGTTATACTTATGGATATGAATATAATAGGAAGAATGTATGTAGTATATACAGTATAAAATGTATTTCTTACTTTGTGTGTTTTGTTTTTTTTTTTTCTTTTGGAGATGGAGTCTCGCTCTGTCCCCGAGTCTGGAGTGCAGTGGCACAATCTAGGCTTGCTGCAACCTCCGCCTCCCAGGTTCAAGTGATTCTCCTGCCTCAGCCTCTTGAGTAGCTAGGATTATAGGCATATGTCACCACGCTTGGCTAATTTTTGTATTTGGGTAGAGACAGGGTTTCACCATGTTGGCCAGGCTGGTCTTGAACTCCTGATGTCAAGTGATCTGCCCACCTTGGCCTCCTAAAAGTGCTGGGATTACAGGTGTGAACCACTGTGCCTAGCCTCATATCTAACTTCAGCTTCTATCATACTGGCAATCAGGATCGCTGAACTAAAAAAAAAAAAAAAAAAAAAAAAAAAAATTGAATTTCCCCTTCTTCAGCTGATAGACTCAGCATAAAATTATCAGCTGGTGGTGGTGGCTTATACTTGTAATCCTAGTGCTTTGGGAGGACCACTTGAGATCAGGAGTTAAAGACCAGGTTGGGCAACACAGCAGGACCTATCTCTACTAAAAATAATTCTTAAAAAACAATCAGGTACGTTGACATGGGCGTGTAGTCCCAGCTACTCGGGAGGCTGAGGGGAGAATCTTGAGCCCAGGAGTTCAAGGTTGCATTGACTTAACTGCGCCATTGCACTTCGGCCTGGGTAACAGAGTTAAAACCCTGTCTCAAAAAAAAAAAAAAAAAAAAAAAAGAAGAAGAAGAATTGTTCTCTTTTGGCTCCAGTTGGCAGTTTAATCTTTGAGCACTTCTAGATTGGTGGACAGCCTCACTCATTGCCACACTTCTGCCCAGTCCCAAAGTGATTTTTCTGCGTTCTCCCTCCTAAAAGCAGAGTTGTTGCAAAATGACCTTAAACCGTAAATTGGCATTAGGGCAAGACCTGCCCTGAAAAATAGGTTTTAGTTTGGTGTATACAGGTGTGTTTAAATTATTTTCAATTGCATGTGACCCTTGAACAACACGGGCTAGGAGTGCTGCCCACCCCCCACATCCGTACCTCCCCTGTACAAGCAAATCCTAGTATAACTTGACTCTCCAAAACTGAGCTAGCAATAGCCTTAGCCTACTGTGACTGGAAGCCTTACTGATAACATAGAACAGTTTAGATTAACAGGTATTTTGAATGATATATATTATATATTGCATTCTTAAAGTAAGCTAGGAAAAAGAAAATGTTAAGAAAATCACAAGGAAGAGAAAATAAATTTACTATTTATTAAGTGGAAGTAGATCATTGTAAAGGTATTCATCCTCATCATCTTCACGTTGAGCAGGCCAAGGAAAAGGAAGAGAGGGGCTGGTCTTGCTGTCTCAGGGGTGGCAGAAGTGGAAAAAAAATCCAAGTATAAGTCCACTTGTGCAATTCAAATGCATGTCGTTCAAGGGTCAGCTGCACTCGCTTTTATATACAAGTTGGTAGATTTCATGTAAAAATTAAGATTTCTGGGTCTGATGGGGTGGCTCACACCTATAATCCTAGCACTTTGGGAGGCTGGGGTGGGAGGATCCTTTGAGCCCAGGAGTTCAAGACCAGCCTGGACAACATGGTGAGACCGCATCTCTCCCGAAAAATTAAAATATTATCCAAATGTAGTGGCCTATACCTGTGGTCCCAGCTACTTGGAGGCTGAGGTGAGAAGATTGCTTGAGCTCGGGAGTTTGAGGCTGCAGAGAGCTATGATCACACCACTGCACTCCAGCGTGGGCAGTACAGTAAAGAAAGCCTGTCTCAAAAACAAGAAAATCAAAATTTTGTCACTTACTTGAGTTCTGATAATCCCTGTCCTGCATAGTCCCATGGCAGCATTCGACTGAAGCCCTGTAGGTGACCGGCATGCATTCTCTCCAGTATGTCACAACCCAACTCCCTTGCTTCACGTATTTCTGTTCCTTGTCTGGACTGTGTAGGCAGTTGCCCTTCCCACCCTTGGCCTATGGACTGTGGGGATGGAGGTGGATTGGAGGCTGACCATGGCTTGAAGAACTGTAGTGTTTCACCTTTCCTGAACTAAAGTGAAGAGTGTTCATTTTAATTAGCGGTGGTGGGCAGACAGGCCCTCAGGGCATTGTGTTGGGTTTACCCCCCTCACGTTTTACCTTTTTGTTTTTAATGCCTCTGACCTTTTATTAAATATAAAGCTATCTTTATATTTTGTTGTCTTGTTTGATTTATTACCATGCATACATATTAGCATATTGTAGGTATTATAAAAGATATTCACAATGTTATTACATGAGGAAAGGAAGTTGCAGGGTAATGAATATTATATAATCTCATTTTTTACTGTAGGATTTGGTCTTTTAGATCAGAAATCAGCAATGTTTTTTTGGTAACGAGCCACACAGTAAATATTTTCAGCATTGTTGATCACATGTCACAACTAGTCAACTCTGCCATTGTAGCAAAAGTAGCACAGATAATATGTAAATGGATGTGCGGCCTGTTTTGAAATAAAACTTTACAAAAAACAGGCGGTCAACTGGCAAGTCAGCGTGCTAATTCTTCTTTTAAAGTATGTGAGGGGCTGGGCATGGTGGCTCATGCCTGTAATCCTAACATTTTAGAAGGCTGAGGTTGAGTGTATTGCTTGAGCCCAGGAGTTCAAGACCAGCCTGAGGAACATAGTGACATTCTTTCTTTATAAATAAATAAATAAATAAAGATCAAGTATTGGAGGACCCAAATCTTCAGTGTCTGAGGCTTAAGGAAGTATGTGTTATTTTAAATAGCAAAAGATAGAAACAAGATGCCTATCAAAAGATTTTCATTCTAGTTCTGCTGCTTTGAATGTGTTCTCTCATGGTGAAGAATTGTCTCAAGATGGCCAATCTGGCTGGGCGCGGTGGCTTACGCCTGTAATCCCAGCACTTTGGGAGGCTGAGGTGGGCAGATCACGGGTTCAGGAGTTCAAGACTAGCCTGACCAACGTGGTGAAACCCTGTCTCTATTAAAAATACAAAAATTAGCTGGATGTGGTGGTGGGTGCCTGTAATCCTACCTACTTGGGAGGCTGAGGCAGGAGAATTTGCTTGCACTTGGGAGGCGGTTGCTGTGAGCCAAGATTGCACCATTGTACTCCAGCCTGGGCAATAAGAGTGAAACTCTGTCTCAAAAAAAAAAAAAAAAAAAAAAAAAAAAGGACTGGCCAATCTCACATCTTTGTCTCTCGCCGTCAGATACAGGGCCAGGACCTCAGCACAATTTCACCAGCAATTATCTTTGAATCAGTGTTCCAGAATTCAGATGATACAGCAATTCAGGAAGATCCTCAACAGACAGGTTTGTCATGCAGACTCTTTTTTTCTTTCTTTCTTTCTTTTTTTAAATTTATTTATTTATTTATTTATTTTTTATTGCATTTTAGGTTTTGGGGTACATGTGAAGAACATGCAAGATTGTTGCATAGGTACACACGTGGCAGTCTGATTTGCTGCCTTCCTCCCCTTCACCTATATCTGGCATTTCTCCCCATGTTATTTCTCCCCAACTCCCCACCCCCCGCTGTCCCTCCCCTATTTCCCCCCAACAGACCCCAGTGTGTGATGCTCCCCTCCCTGTGTCCATGTGTTCTCATTGTTCAACACCCACTTATGAGTGAGAACATGTGGTGTTTGATTTTCTGCTCTTGAGACAGTTTGCTGAGAATGATGGTTTCCAGGTTCATCCATGTCCCTACAAAGGACACGAACTCATCGTTTTTGATGGCTGCATAGTATTCCATGGTGTATATGTGCCACATTTTCCCTGTCCAGTCTGTCATTGATGGGCATTTGGGTTGGTTCCAGGTCTTTGCTATTGTAAACTGTGCTGCAATGAACATTCGTGTGCATGTGTCCTTATGGAAGAAGGATTTATAATTCTTTGGATATATACCCAGTAACGGGATTGCTGGGTCAAATGGAATTTCTATTTCTAGGTCCTTGAGGAATCGCCACACTGTCTTCACAATGGTTGAACTAATTTACACTCCCACCAACAGTGTAAAAGTGTTCCTATTTCTCCACATCCTCTCCAGCCTTTGTTGTCTCCAGATTTTTTAACGATCGCCATTCTAACTGGCGTGAGATGGTATCTCAATGTGTTTTGATTTGCATTTCTCTAATGACCAGTGATGATGAGCATTTTTCATGTTTGTTGGCCTCATGTATGTCTTCTTTTGTAAAATGTCTGTTCATGTCCTTCGCCCACTTTTGAATGGGCTTGTTTGTTTTTTTCTTGTAAATCTGTTTTAGTTCTTTGTAAATTCTGGGTATCAGCCCTTTGTCAGATGGGTAAACTGCAAAAATTTTTTCCCATTCTGTTGGTTGCCGATTCACTCTAATGACTGTTTCTTTTGCCGTGCAGAAGCTGTGGAGTTGGATTAGGTCCCATTTGTCTATTGTTGCTTTTGTTGCCAATGCTTTTGGTCATGAAGTCCTTGCCTACGGCTATATTCTGAATGGTTTTGCCTAGATTTTCTTCTAGGGTTTTTATGGTGTTAGGTCTTACGTTTAAGTCTTTAATCCATCTGGAGTTAATTTTAGTGTAAGGTGTCAGGAAGGGGTCCAGTTTCTGCTTTCTGCACATGGCTAGCCAGTTTTCCCAACACCATTTATTAAACAGGGAATCCTTTCCCCATTGCTTGTTTTTGTCAGGTTTGTCAAAGATCGGATGGTTGTAGATGTGTTGCCTCCAAGGCCTCTGTTCTGTTCCATTGGTCTATATCTCTGTTTTGGTACCAGTACCATGCTGTTTTGATTACCGTAGCCTTGTAGTATAGTTTGAAGTCCAGTAGTATGATGCCTCCCGCTTTGTTCTTTTTGCTTAGAATTGACTTGGCTATGCGGGCTCTCTTTTGGTTCCATATGAAGTTTAAGGTGCTCTTTTTCCAGTTCTGTGAAGAAGGTCATTGGTAGCTTGATAGGGATAGCATTGAATCTGTAAATTACTTTGGGCAGTATGGCCATTTTCACGATATTGGTTCTTCCTAACCATGAACATGGAATGTTTCTCCATCTGTTTGTGTCCTCTCTTATTTCGTTGAGCAGTGGCTTGTAGTTCTCCTTGAAGAGGTCTTTTATGTTCCTTGTTAGCTGTATTCCTAACAAGAAACACAAGGCTGTTGAATTTTGTCAAAGGCCTTCTCTGCATTTTATTCTCTTTGTAGCAATTGTGATTGACAGTTCATTCTTGATTTGGCTCTCTTTAAGTCTGTTATTGGTGTATAGGAATGCTTGTGATTTTTGCACATTGATTTTGTATCCTGAGACTTTGCTGAAGTTGCTTATCAGTTTCAGGAGGTTTTGGGCTGAGACGATGGGGTCTTCTAGATACACAATCATGTCGTCTGCAAATAGAGACAATTTGCCTTCCTCCTTTCCTATTTGAATACCCTTTATTTCTTTTTCTTGCCTGATTGCTCTGTCTAGAACTTCCAATGCTATGTTGAATAGGAGTGGTGAGAGAGGGCATCCTTGTCTAGTGCCAGATTTCAAAGGGAATGCTTCCAGTTTTTGCCCATTCAGTATGATATTGGCTGTTGGTTTGTCATAAATAGCTTTTATTATTTTGAGATACGTTCCATCAATACCTAGTTTAGTGAGGGTTTTTAGCATAAAGGGCTGTTGAATTTTGTCAAAGGCCTTCTCTGCATCAATTGAGATAATCCTGTGGTTTTTGTCTTTGGTTCTGTTTATGTGGTGAATTACATTTATAGACTTGGGTATGTTGAACCAGCCTTGCATCCCTGGGATGAATCCTACTTGATCATGGTGGATAAGCTTTTTGATGTGCTGTTGCAGTCGGCTTGCCAGTATTTTATTGAAGATTTTTGCATCTATGTTCATCATGGATATTGGCCTGAAGTTTTCTTTTCTTGTTGAGTCTCTGCCAGGTTTTGGTATCAGGATGATGTTGGTCTCATAAAATGATTTGGGAAGGATTCCCTCTCTTTGGATTATTTGGAATGGTTTCAGAAGGAATGGTTACCAGCTCCTCTTTGTATGTCTGGTAGAATTTGGCTGTGAACCCATCTGGACCTGGGCTTTTTTTGGGTGGTAGGCTCTTAATTGCTGCCTCAACTTCAGACCTTGTTACTGGTCTATTCAGGGTTTCAACTTCTTCCTGGTTTAGGCTTGGGAGGAGGCAAGTGTCCAGGAATTTATCCATTTCTTCCAGGTTTACTAGTGTATGTGCATAGAGTTGTTTGTAATAATCTCTGATGATGGTTTGAATTTCTGTGGAATCTGTGGTGATATCCCCTTTATTGTTTTTTATTGCATCTATTTGGTTATTCTCTCTTTTCTTTTTTATTAATCTGGCTAGTGGTCTATTTTGTTGATCTTTTTGAAAAACCAGCTCCTGGATTTATTGATTTTTTGAAGGGTTTTTTGTGTCTCTATTGCCTTCAGTTCTGCTCTGATCTTAGTTATTTCTTGTCTTCTGCTAGGTTTTGAGTTTTTTTGATCTTGCTCCTCTAGCTCTTTTAATTTTGAAGATAGGGTGTCAATTTTAGATCTGTCCTTGCTTCTCATGTGGGCACTTATTGCTATATATTTTCCTCTAGAGACTGCTTTAAATGTGTCCCAGAGATTCTGGTATGTTGTGTCTTTGTTCTCGTTGGTTTTGAAGAACATCTTTATTTCTTCCTTCATTTCATTGTTTATCCAGTCAACATTCAAGAGCCAGTTGTTCAGTTTCCATGAAGCTGTGTGGTTCTGAGTTAGTTTCTCAATTCTGAGTTCTAACTCGATTGCACTGTGGTCTGAGAGACTGTTTATTATCATTTTTGTTCTTTTGCATTTGCTGTGAGGAGTGATTTACTTCCAATTATGTGGTCAATTTTAGAGTAGGTGTGATGTGGTGCTGAGAAGAATGTATATTCCACACAGACTCTTTCTACTCACATCTCAGCACTTGTTGACACAGTGAGTCACAGGCACAATGAGATATTCTAGTTAGCTTAAATGGGGTGAGCTTTCTATGAAGGGTCAGAAAAGTTTGGGTCTTTCAGTTTAATTCCATCTTTTCCCTTACTTCCCTCAGTCCTGAAGAAGAGAGTCTCCTTTCCCAGAATCTGTTGTTGGGTGTAAAAAACAAAATGGGAGGAGCTGTGAGCTCTTTCTTCTGCTTTTTTTTTTTTTTTTTTGAAACAGCATTTCACTTTGTCACCCAGGTGGGAGTGCAGTGGTGTGATCACTGCAACCTCCACCTCCATGCTTAAGTGATCCTCCCACCTCAGCCTCCCAAGTAGCTGGGACCATAGACATATGCCACCACACGCAGTTAATTTTTTTTTTTTTTTTTTTTTTTTTGTATTTTTAGTAGAGATGGAGTTTTGCCATGTTGCCCAGGCTGCTTTCAGTCTCCTGAGCTTAGGTGATCCACCTGCCTCAGCCTCCCAAAGTTTTAAGACTATAGGCGTGAGCCACCATGCCTGCCCAGCCTTGTGAGCTCTTTCTTCTGATGTGATACGCTATGAGTGGACAGGACCCACAAACCATGCTTCAGATGCATAGCTCATACTGTGTTTGATGAAACTTTGTCTGTAAAATTTCCCAGTAGTCAGAAAGTATATTCACTAGTCATGCCAAAAAAAGGATGTCTCTAGTCTTTTTTCCAGAAAAGCCGTAAGACACTTTTTTAAATGGTTAGAGCTATACTAGGTCTTTACATCTAGAAAGTGAGGTTGTCTATGAAGTCAAAACACAAAAAATAGAAAAAAAAAAAAAAAAAGTGAGGTTGTTGCTGAAACATGATTCTTTGACCAGAAGTGTCACTAATTGAAAATGACAGAAAGCCAGCCTGCTAACTATGAAGGAATCAGCTCAGTGAACTTCAGCTGTCTTTTGTTTAGCCCGTAATGACTGTTTTTGTGGCTCATAAAAGGCTTGGGATATATATATATGTATGTATTTCTATTTCTTTTTCTTGCCAGCTTCCTTGATTGAAAGTTTTAATGGTGATGCAGAGTCAATCAGTGATGTTCCGCCATCCACAGGAAATTCAGCATCTTTATCTCTTCCACTTGTACTGCAGCCTGGCCTCTCCGAGCCACCCCAGACTCTACTACCTGCCTCAGCTCCGTCTGCTCCTTCGTCTGCTCCCTCCCTAGGACCTGGCTCCCAGCAAGCTGCATTCGGCAACCCCCCTGCTCTCTTACAACCTACAGAAGTGCCTGTTCCCCACAGCACACAGTTTGCTGCTAATCATCAAGAGTTTCTTCCGCACCCCCAGGCACCACAGCCCATCGTACCAGGACTTTCTGTTGTTGCTGGGGCTTCTGCATCAGCAGCGGCAGTGGCATCAGCTTTGGCAGCACCAGCCCCACCACAAAGTACTACTGAGCCCCTGCCAGCCATGGTCCAGACTCTGCCCCTGGGTGCCAACTCTGTCCTAACTAATCCCACAATAACCATCACCCCGACTCCCAGCACAGCTATCCTGCAGTCCAGTCTAGTCATGGGAGAACAGAACTTACAATGGATATTAAATGGTGCCACCAGTTCGCCACAAACCCAAGAACAAATTGTAAGTATTATGTATAAATTTCCCTAGTAGGATGAAGCATATTTATATAGGTGACATGTTCAGAAGCTTTTACTTCAAAAAGGAAGATTCCTATCATATCCACCCTGAAACCTGTAATTCTTTTAGTCATTTTCCACATAATCAAGTGGTATAAAAGTAGGAAATGCTGTCATGAGCACCTACAATAAGGAGCCAGAGAAACAGTCTTTAAATCTAGCAGGAGGCACTCGAACAAATGTATTCCTACTGATACTGCAATCCAATCACATCATCTAGTATAAAAAAGCAGTCAGCAAACTCCAGACACCCCAGAATATTCCAGAAAAAGGTTGTCTTCAAGGCAGAGTCAGGCTGATGTGACTCAGTCAGATGGCACTGGACAGCAGTGGCCAAGTCAGAGAAGTAATCTGTGCTCCCACAGCCCACCATAGAATCATTTTCTGAGGAAGTACTTGCTTGGTCTTGATGACTAGGGAAATGACTTGGTCATTCAATTAATTCTTCATGGTGAAGAATTGTCCCAGAAAGGCCAGTGTCACAACTTAGAACGCCTAATATTTACCAGACACCACACTGAATATCTGGAGGATATAGAAAAGAGAAAAAACATGATTTCTTTTTTATAAAAATAGATATTCTAGTTAAAGGGGCTAAAAATGCCAAAAAGAAAGTTAACATTACCAGTAGGCAAAGTACCAAATACTAATAATGGTCATTTTAAGAACATCAACAGCTGTTATTTATTGAGTCCTTACTATGCATAAGGACTTACTGTGCTACATATTTTTTAAAAACTGAGGATCTGCAATGTGTCAGTGATTACGTATGTACATTATTTTTAGATTACTTTTTTAGGGGATTTTGTTGAACAGATGGTACATAGAGTATCCATAAACCCTTTCCCCATCCCCTGTTTCCCCAATTATTATTATATATATTTTGAGGCAGAATCTAGCTCTGTCACCCAGTGTAGTGGTGCGATCTCAGCTCACTGCAACCTCTGCCTCTTGAGCTCAAGCCATTCTCTTACCTCAGCCTCCTAACTGGGACTACAGGCACTCAACACAATGCCTGGCTAATTTTTTTGTACTTTTCTGTAGAGGTGTGGTTTCGCCATGTTGCCCATGCTGGTCTTGAACTCCTGGACACAAGCAATCTGCCTGCCTCAGTCTCCCAAAGTGCTGGGACTATAGGCGTGAGCCACCATGCACAGCCCTACCCTATTATTATTGTTGTTTTTTCTATCATCTTATTTTTTTCCCCATTACTAACATCTTGTAACAATGTAGTACATTGGTTACAACTGATAAACCAGTATTGATACATTATTATTATCTAAAGTCCATAGTTTACATTAGGGTCCATTCTTTGTGCTATACAGTTCTACTGGCTTTGACAAATGTATAATGTCATGTATCTACCATATAATATCCAGAATAGTTTCACTTCCCTAAAAATTCCTTGTGCTTCACTTATTCATCCCTTCTACCTCTTCCCCCTGCCCTAGCAACCACTGATATTTCTGCTATCACTGTATAGCTGCAGGTCTATATGTCACACAAAGCACATTTTAACATATTACAACAATCCTAGGAGTTAGGTCTAATTTTCCCAGTGGAGAGCAGAGGTCCAGAGAGGGTAAGTGACTGGCTGGAGTTCACACAGCTCACATTGGCAAAGCTGGGCCTGAAGCATAAGCAGATTGATCCCAGAGTTGGTGGCTCTTGGCCACTCCATTGAGGGGTTCAGATGCTAATGATTTGTTGGGTGGCCATACAGGTCAGGTGAACCTTGAGATATGGGTAGGAATTAGAAGGAGAAAAGTATGTACTAGGTTGGAGAATCTAGAGGTGAATATATGCTACTATCAGACAAACTGGAAAGGCGATTTTGAGCTCAATAGGGAGAACACTCAAATTCCAGAACTAGGGTGCCAGCCCCCTCTAGAGAGAGCCTATTTCCATTTCTAGATAGCTGGAGTCATTGGAAAGGGCTTTCCAGTATTGGGACCCAGACTGCCTCCATGTGATTTTCATTGTTTTCTCTGGCCCTCTCCTGGGGTGGTGAATGAAATAAGTCGTCCGTCTTCTTTTCAAGTATTTAAATATGGGTCTCACTTCTCCTTTTTTTTTTTTTTTTTTTAAGTCAAGAGTCTCTCTGTTTTGCCCCAGCTGGAGTGCAGTAGTGCGATCTCAGCTCACTGCAAACTCCACCTCCTGGGTTCAAGCTATTCTCCTCCCTCAGCCTCCCGAGTAGCTAAGACTTCAGGCATGCACCACCTCGCCTAGCTAATTTTTCTATTTTTAGTAAAGATGGGGTTTCACCATATTGGCCAGGCTGGTCTTGAACTCCTGACCTCAGGTGATCTGCACCCCGCCCCCCTCCCCGCCTTGGTTCCCAAAGTGCCGGAATTACAGGCGCGAGCCACCGCACCCATCCTCCATTATTATTTTATAGTGTCATTTGCTATAACTTAGCCAGAAACTTTCACTTTGCTCCCAGACTCATCTTAGAGGCACTTTTTAATTTCCTGATTAAAGAGATAAAAGACTGTCTCAAGATAAGTCTTCAAAAAAGTAGAAACCTTTTGGCCAATGTAACAGGAAGTATACAATAGTGATTTGCTGGGCATGGGTTTATAGTCCTACTTAGTAATTATATACATAATGAATGTTTACTGAATGTTCACCATGTGCCAAGTGTCCTATGGGCATTGTCTCATTTCATACTTACAGGGGACTTTGAAAAGGTTTTTGGTTATTGTCTTGGTCCATTTTCTGTTTATAACAGAATGCCCCAAACTGGGTAATTTATAAAGAAAAGACATTTATTACAGTTATGGAGGCTGAGAAGTCCAAAGTTAAGGGGCCACATCTGGAGGGCTGCCCTGCTGTTGTGGACCCTGTGCAGAGTCCTGAGGTAGCACAGGGCATCACATGGCGAGGGGTCGAACATCCTAGCTCAGGCCTCTCTCTTTTTTTTTTTTGAGACGGAATCTCGCTCTGTCACCCAGGCTGGAGTACAGTGGCGCATTGCACTCAGCTCACTGCAACCTCCGCCTCCCAGATTCGAGTGATTCTCCTGTCTCAGCCTCCCGAGTAGCTGGGACTACAGGTTCATGCCACCTTACCTGGCTAATTTTTGTATTTTTAGTAGAGACGGGGTTTTACCATGTTGGCCAGGATGGTTTCGATCTCCTGACCTTATGATCCGCCCGTCTCTGCCTCCCAAAGTACTGGGATTAAAGGCATGAGCCACAGTGCTCAGCCTTATTTTTTATTTTTATTTTTAAGAGAAAGAGTCTCACTATGTTGCCGAGGCTGGGCTGGCCTTGAAACTCCTGAGCTCAAGGGATTCTCCCACAGTCTTCCAGATATGCCTGGAAGATAGGCATATACCACTACAGCCTGCTTCTCTTACTCTTCTTTTTTTTTTTTTTTTTTTTGAGACGGAGTTTTGCTCTTGCTACCCAGGCTGGAGTGCAATGGCGCGATCTCAGCTCACCGCAACTTCCGCCTCCTGGGTTCAGGCAATTCTTCTGCCTCAGCTTCCTGAGTAACTCGGATTACATGCACGCGCCACCATGCCCAGCTAATTTTTTGTATTTTTAGTAGAGACGGGGTTTCGCCATGTTGACCAGGATGGTCTCGATCTCTCGACCTCGTGATCCACCCGCCTCGGCCTCCCAAAGTGCTGGGATTACAGGCTTGAGCCACCGCGCCCAGCCTCTTACTCTTCTTATAAAGCCACCACTCCCACTCCCATTATACCCCATTAATCCATGAATGAATGAATTCATTCATGACCCAGTCATCTCTTACAACACTCAGCCTCTCAGTACCGCCACAGTGGGCGTTAACTTTCAACATGAGTTTTGGAGGGGACAGATATTCCATCCATAGCAGTTATCCCTGTTTTTAAAGGTGGGGAAACAAGACTCTAAGAAGTTAAATCACATGCCTGACATAATCAGGTAGTAAGTGGCAGAGCTTGGACTTGAATCCAAGTGTGGCCGAATCCAGGGCCCACCCTTGAACTATGCTATAGACCTTACAGCACAAGACCTTTACAGGCTGTCTGCCTTTGAGAGGAAGCCTTAGCCTGTCATTGGCATGCAGCTTAATCCCTGAGGGGAAAAAAAGAACTTTCCAGCTTTCTTAGAAGTATTGGAGGGGGCACCAGGGAAGGTGGAGAGCCTGAAGGAAAGCTAGCCCTTGGTTCCCTCTAAGAAGACAATCTGCTTGAGAAAAACAACCTTGGAGGAGGAGGAGCCTTTGGATATAGAACCCACTGGATTAGGCAGCCGGGAGCCAGCCAGCTAGTAGGGTATAAAGCTAGCTACATTGTTGGCACTGAATGTCAAACAGTGCAGTGACCTCATATCAGAGCACAAACAAAACACCACTCAGTACAGAAATCCCCGAACACTGAGGGTTTTCTATCGTTTTGGATGACCATTACAATTGGGAGGCTTCAGGTCCCTGGGGATCTGCCATATTACAGTGGCTATAAATGGGATTTCTTTTTCTTTTTTCAGCAGCAAGCATCTAAAGTTGAGAAGGTGTTTTTTACCACTGCAGTACCAGTAGCCAGTAGACCAGGTATGTAATTCCATGTTAGTCTTAAGAGAAGGCAACTCTGGGTCCCTTGAGGCACAGCTAATTATTGCTTTGTCCCAGTTTCTAAAACTTTATAAATCTTTAAACAGCCTAAGTTAAATTCTTCACATTGTATTGTTTGTTAGAGTATTTCATATTCTCACAACTATTAGAAGTTAGTTTACTTCTGGCCAAGATATCATGTTAAACTTTTTTTTAACTAGTAACAGTTCTTTCTCTTTCAGATACAGCTTTTAAATGTAGCCAGAAAAAAAAAAAAAAAAATTGAATCACAGCTAATGCTAAAGAGGGCAGTTGTTAATTCACTGGACTCTTTTCTAATTACAGTAATGAAGAAATAGCATCTGGGTCAGAGACACATATAGAGCTGAAAGTTCCTTTTATTCAAATTCTTTCTTTTATAGATTAAGAAACTGGGACCCAGAAAAATTAAATGACTCCCCCAAGATCATAAGTGAATTTGTGGTGGAACCAAACAAAGCACTAGTTCTCACACCTCCCAGTTCCCACCCTGTTCTTCTGCCCATTGGCCTTTGTTTTGTTTTATTTTTGAGACGAGGTCCCGCTGTCACCCAGGCTGTGGTACAGTGGCACGATCATAGCTCACTGCAGCCTGGACCTCCTGGGCTCAGGCACTCCTCCTGCTTCGGCTTCCCGAGTAGCTGGGACCATTCGTACATGCCACCATGCGCAGCTGATTTTTCTTTTTTTTTTTTTTTTTTGAGGTAGAATCTCGTTTTGTTGCCCAGGCTGGAGTGCAGTGGCGCAATCCTGGCTCACTGCAACCTCTGCCTCCCAGCCTCAAGTGATTCTCATGCCTCAGCCTCCCAAGTAGCTGGGATTACAGGCGCCCACCATCATGCCCAGCTAATTTTTGTATTTTTAGTGGAGATGAGGTTTCACCATGTTGGCCAGGCTGGTCTCAAACTCCTGACCTCAATGATTCGACCACCTTGGCCCCCCAAAGTGCTGGGATTACAGGCGTGAGCCACCGCACCTGGCCTAATTTTTCTTTATTATTTGTAGAAACAGAGTCTCACTATATTGTCCCGGCTGGTCTCAAACACCTGGGCTCAAGAGATCCTGCCTTCTCAGACTCCTAAAATACTGGGATTACATACAGGCATGAGCCACTGTACCCAGCCCTGCCCATTCATCTTTAGCTCTGTCAAGACACACAAAGCCTGGCTGAACATGGAGCACAACACATCAGAGAAAGAGAGATGAGTACGGTGTCCTAAAGGAGCTCAGAGTCTCCTGGGCAGGCAGAACCAAACAGGTCCTGTACCATATGGAGAGAGGTGTGGAAGGAAGACAGCAGCACTGCGCATGTGTGCTGGGAAGCTTGGTATGGGCTTCACCCCAGCTAGTCCTCTGCATAGGCCTACAGAGAGCAGGGGAGTGAGCTAGGTCCTGAAAGATAAGTGTCAGTTCTCCAGAAGAGTGGTGTCCAGGGGTTTTAAGCATACGGAAGAGCCCACACGCCCAGGGGTATAAAGAACATGTCAGGAAAAGGTAGGTATCTGCACAGAGGGTGCGGTGGAGAATGACTGGAAATGAAGCTGGAAACACAGGGTGCATCTAGATTGCGTGTGCATTTCCTTTCTAAGGAAAGGAGACTTTGTCTTGGGCTGGGGAGTGTTTCTTTTTTTCCTGAGAGGGCATGTGGTCCAATTTAAAGCAGAACAAAGCCCAAAGCATGGCGACCGTCCTTCCCATGGTTCCTATGGCACTTCACTCTCACCTAGTCCATGTATCCCTGTCCCTCGTGCTCCTGCCCCTGCAGCTACTTGAAAAGCAGTCTCTCTTGCCTCTCTCGCAGGGAGCTCTGTCCAGCAGATTGGCCTCAGTGTTCCTGTGATCATCATCAAACAAGAAGAGGCGTGTCAGTGTCAGTGTGCATGCCGGGACTCTGCAAAGGAGCGGGCGTCCAGCAGGAGGAAGGGCTACTCCTCCCCACCACCCCCTCCAGAGCCAAGCCCCCAAGCTCCTGATGGGCCCAGCCTGCAGCTCCCAGCGCAGACTTTCTCTTCAGCCCCTGTTCCCCGGTCATCATCCTCCACCATGCCCTCCTCCTGTGAGCAAAGCCGACAAGCAGAGGCTCCTTCAGACCCTCAAACAGAAACGTTAAGTGCCATGGATATGTCACAGCTTCTATCCCTCCAGAACCTGGACACCCCGTCCCATTTGATTCCCATTGAAGTACTACTGCAGGCGGAGGAGGAGATGGGCCTCACCAGCAGCTTCTCCAAGTGAAGGGCCGTGTATGCTCACCTCCAGGAAAAAGAGGGTGAGCAGGAGGCATGAGGTACAATGCCTGCCATCATGGGTCAGAAATTTGAAGGATGAAGAAATTTACTGTTTGAAATCCTCACCTTTCAGACGTATTTTCTTTATTCACATCCCAGGAACTAATCTTTGGAAAAAAAAAAACAAAAAACAACAAAAAAAGCTAAGTTATAAGTGAACTGTTTGGCTGCACTGTATGTCACTTTTGCTTGTTGTCATGTGAACTTGGAAACTAAGGTTACTCGTATGCATAAAAATTCTAAATGAAAGGGTGTGGTTTCCATCAATCTGATGCTGCCCATCGCTTGCACTGGGGTCTTTGTGGATTGGGCAGGAGAGTTCAGTGTGTTGGGTGTTGTTCCTTCCTGTGTGTCTTTTGAATCTGAGGCTGACATTTGCTTGGAAGGCCAGACCCTTGCTCCATCAGAGAGGGCAATGGCAAAGGCCAGTGAGGCAGCTGTGAGTTGGACAGGGTTCAGATGAGATGGTGTTGTCATTTGTGCTTAGTGTTGGTGGAGCTCAGGGTGGATAACACGGGTCGTTCTGCAGCCCGCTTCAGCACAAATAGGCAGCTTCAGGCCCTGCTCGCAGGCTGTGGGGTTGATCTGGTTCTGCAGAGGCCCTAGGCAGCTTGTTGAGTGCTGTCTGCCGATGACGTGTGTGCAGAGCAGGCTCTAGCAACATTATCACTGTCTTTGCCTTCCTGGTTCTTTCTCTCAGCTGGTTGCTAGGGCTTGCAGATCAAAGTGAATTTTCCTTGGGGAATATCCCTGTTTCTTCCTAGAGTGAACATGTGGTTTATGGCCAGTTGCTGTTTGGTGGTCTGCCTTCTTTTTTATGGTATTTTCTTCTTCAGAGCAGAAGGGCTGTATTTTGCTTATCAGGAGAAGGTGCAGATTTAAGGGAATTCGTATGAGGTGGCATGTAATTGGCAGGCCAGGTGGCCTGTTTCCAGGTTCCAGCCAGGCTTTGGGTTGCCCCCTCCATCTCTGCCCCTCCCTGCCTGGATTTTGCATACAGCCTCATACAGTGCAAAGAAGGATGTGACTTGCTCAGCTTAGTCATGTGATTTATTAAAAAACAAAAAACAAAAAACAAAAAAACACAAAACAATGATCTTCTACTCAGGGTATAGCAAAACAAAAAAATTCCCTTTCCACCAAAAAGCCTGAAATGTTGCAATAAGTTATCTCATTTGGAATGTTTCATTAAGTTGTTATAGGAAAAAATTGTGTGTGTGTGTGTGTAGAATTATATCCATCTGTCTGCCTTTGGCTCCAAGTCATTGCCTCTTAAAATAAAAGGTAAGATACAATCCACACTAGCATGAAAAGTGTTTCTCAACAGGCTATATTAACATAGTCATGAATGCTCACCAAACTCACCAAGCTCAGAAGCCAGGCGCGGCCTGAGGTGCAGAATAGGCCTCTGCCTCCCAAGAGACCTTTCCCTGCCCTGAGCAAGGAGCAGTGTTCCACTAACAAGGCTGCTCTTCTGAGCCAACAGTGTCAGGCAGGAAGCAGCCATAATTTTGCCTTGCATTTTCATTCCCTAATATAAAGGGATCTGCATTGGTCACTCTCCTATTCTCTGAGCCATTGCTCAGGGCCAGCCAAGACATGATCAAGAGCAGATAATTTACCCTGGAGCCAGAGGCCCTCCTCCCTTGCCTTTAGCCAGGATGTTCAGGGACAGACAAAGAGGGCAGTGGGGGTGAATGTCATTACTGCCATGAAGAAAATGGTCTTAACTAGAAGAAGCCGATTTCTCATTCTGGGACCCTAGCCAGGGGAATTGATTTTTTTTTTTTTTTTTTTTTTTTGAGCTGGAGTTTCACTCTTGTTGCCCAGGCTGGAATGCAGTGCCGAGATCTCAGCTCACCGCAACCTCCGCCTCCCAGGTTCAAGAGATTCTCCTGCCTCAGCCTCCCAAGTAGCTGGGACTACAGGCATGCACCACCACACCTGGCTAATTTTGTATTTTTAGTAGAGATGAGTTTCTCCATGTTGGTCAGGCTGGTCTTGAACTCCCAACCTCAGGTGATCTGCCCACCTTGGCCTCCCAAAGTGTTGGGATTACAGGTGTGAGCCATTGTGCCCAGCCTAGGGAATTGACTTCTTTTTGACCTTCTGCATTCCCTTCCCCAAAAGGTTTGTGGCTTCTGGTGACCATTGACCTCAGCAGAAGTTGGTAAGGCAGGAGGAATCTTCTGTTTACACAGTGGGTTAGTCCTCCTGGAAAACCACCTGCTGAGTGTGAGGTGTCCTTGGCTGTCTCTGAACCTCATATCCATAGGAAGCTTTGAGATAGGCCCTTGCTGTTTACAACTTAGGAGAGAGGAGTGATGGGACCCCAAACTAAGCTTGTATCAGAGAGCAGTAATGACGCTCCCATATGCCCATCCTATGGTCACCTGGTATTGGGTTCCCTGGGAGCAGAGGTGGGAAATAGGAGCCCAGGGAAGGCCATTTGAAGCACCCATGGTTTAATTATCGACTTCCTGGTTAGCCGGGACTGTGCTCATATTGGGGCCCTACCCAGGTCTGTGGCCTTTTCACTCTCAAAGATCAGGGGTGACGAAGCAGCCTCTTTTTTTTTTTTTTAAGATGGGGTTTCACCATGATGGCCAGGCTGGTCTTGAACTCCTGGCCTCATGTGAGCCACGCGCCCAGCCGAAGCAGCATCTAAAACAGTGTTTAGGCTGACAGATTTTTCCAGTTGAAGAAACTGAAGTGTCTGCCTTTTGAGGGTGACTTTAGATTACAAGAGAGACTATCAGATCCAATCAGCTTTGAAAAATCAGGAATATGCTTAAAATGCCAGTGAGTGGTTGTGAAGATCAGGTTTATTGCCCAGGGTAGGTAGTCTTCCTTTCCCTCCTTTTTCAGTTCTCTTTTCCTACCTGTCCTTCCCTAATCCTGGTCTCTAGTGCCAAGGACCTTGAAGAAGAGAGGGCCCCTAGCTAAGCTGGAGCCAGAAAGAACCTTCACGTGAGTGTGGTTTCCCAAACCTGAGAAATGAACCTTGGGAGGTATGGGAGGGTTTGTAGAATTCTAGCGGGTAAAATCAAGCCTTTTTTCACTCCCATAGTAAACTTAACCATTTTCACCCTGTACATTTATCTTCCAGCTCCTACTAGCATCTCCAATGAGACAACCACTTCGAAGGGTGCTTAGCACCAGGGATTGGGGTTCATAAATTTAGGAGGTGGTAAGGAAACTGGCTGGCACCACCAAACTGCCTTAGTGAACTTGGCCCTTCCCAGGCAGGCAGGTTGGGCATTGAGGGAGAGTGGCCCAGTCTTTCCTGGCAGGGTCTGGCCAATCTCATGTGGCCACCACTAGTTTGGTGACAGAAGTGGTGTCATTTATTGAATTCCACCTCTGTTTAGAAGGAGATTATGGTACAAGCCCAGAAGGGGCCTTAAGATGTGAAGATCTCTCTGGGTAAAAGGCAAGGGGCTTCTCTTCTTCACCTCTGGGATAGTTGGTAGATTGGAGAGTTTTATTTTCAGGGTCAAGGCTGTGGACTGATGGGGATATTGGAGGGTGGGTGGGTTTTCCTGAGAGACTTTGTATAATGCTGAATGTGTCCAGAGGGACAAGTTTGCAGAACCTCATATTGGTATATTAAAGAAATAATAAAATAAAAAAGCACTTTAGGTTATTTTATCTTTAACCCGATTGCTGCAATTTCTTTTGTGTGTGTGCGTGTGTATATATATATACATATATATATATATATATATATATATATATATACTTTCCACAAAGTTTTATTTTTTGCTCAGAATAAAAAGTTAAATTGAGGTGTGAAAAGAAAAGCACTTACCTTGGTGCAATATGTGTAGCTTGATGGTCGTTGTCCCATGTGGCCCTGGCTTGGCCGCGTTTTTCCGCTCAGTCAGCCCTGAGCTATGAGGCTGTCCATAGGGAAACACTATTATGCATTCTCAGCAACCCCTCAATCTATGCAAGCCTTCCCTGTGTGCCCCAGGGCGCCCCCTCAGGCTCTCTGAAGAACTGCTGTGGGTCCTGTTTTCTGCTGACTGTTGAGGCCCTTTTTTCATCACTTCTTGGTCTCTTGCCCTTTTCCCTCTTCACCATTATGAAATGATGCCTGAAAGGAAGGAACAGGTTGTTCCTCGGTAGAAACCTGGCACCTTCTAGACTTTTATGTTTGTGATCACATCCATTGTCCTTAAAGACTTCTCCAGAGTCACTGAAACCGTTGATTTGTGCAACTGCAACAGTATTTCTCAAGAGTTTACAATTGTCTTACACCACCAATCAGAAATATGTTTGGGGAGGCATGGGTGTCGGGGGCAACAAGAGCCATTTCCACACTGCTCCCCATACTACCTGTGTTGGTTCCTTAAGCAAAAAGGCCTCCAACCTTCATTAAGTCCCATAAACAAACATTAAATCCCATGAATCAACTTTCTTCCTTTTTTCCACCTCCCCCGTTTTATCTTCAATTCTCAGGCTATAGAATAGACAAGTTTTAAAATATACTTCAGCCAAAGCAGAAAGATTTTCATAGATCCACTATGCAAATGATTCTGCTGTGACATAGATCAGAAATTGTCTGTTCCTTCATATTTGGGGATGGAGGCAACAAAACTGAAGCATATTTCTGATTGGTTAGCCATTTTAGCCTGTTTCCTCTTGCATATTTTTTAGGGAGAGAGGGAAAGGGTCCTGTATTTCTTCCGATACCCTTAGGGGAAGCCGACGACCACTGTCTGGGCATTTCTCACTGTTATTCCTGTTCAAGAGAGGGCTTCTCAGTCTGCACTGAAAAATGCAAATTAAACTGGATCTTTATGTCAATGTGTACATAGTACAAGCTTTTTTTACTGGAAGTGAGGTTTAAAACCCCACACTGCCCTTTTGGTGGTGTGCCTGTTGGGCCAAAAATCGGGTGATCTGTAGTGTCACTTTCTCAGCTCAATGCAGTTTCTACTTTTTCTTATGGGAAAATTTTTCATAAAACATTTTTGCACCAAAACCCAGGGGTGTTTTTTGCAATATTCTTGTTATCCTCGTAGTGTGCCAAGTCAGAGGCTTCTCTTGCCCTTTTCCTGCTGTGTTCTCAGGCCTCCCAAAGGCTGTTTGACTCAACAGTCTATATCCTTCATTGTGTTTTGGAGAATGTGGAGGTGGCGGTCAGAGTTCAAGGTGTCTGTTCTTTTTTCCATAGAACTTTTCCTAGTCCCTGTTTGGGGAAGGTGGCTGGAAACAGATTTTTGTTGAATCTCTGGCTCAGATCTTCTAGCCAGGAAAGGCAAGAGCCCCCAAGAGCCCTCTTTTTTTGACATACACTAATCATTGGCCAGGGTCTTGGTGACAGTTTTTAAAATCCCAAATAGTTTTATTTGGATTATGTAAAAGTCTATCAAATTTATTTAAGTGTGAAACATGGGAACAACGGACTTCCACTGAGCGATATGAAAACGTTACAGGTTCAGTACTTCCAAAGGAAGAAACCTCCAAACCCAAAAAAGAATAAATACGAATTTGTATTTTTGAAGAATGTGAAATAATGGTGTTTGCTTAATTGCTCATTTTGTATAAACTTAATATTGTACTTTAAAATATCTGCTAAGAAGTGAAAATTTAACTTTTTGGAATTGAAAAAGCAATATTAAATACTAATGAAATCCTAATTAAATGCTTATTTAAATCTGGTAGTATCTGTGGCATTTCTTCCCAACCCTGCCCAGAGTTGACATTTTTCCATCACTCCCCCCTGCCCAGCCATCATTCTTGGCGAGGGGACAGAAAGGAAACGTCGGTCACCAGGAGAGTCTGCAGGCTTCCTTTTAATCAAGGCTCTGCTGAAGTTGTTTTGTGGGGCTAAGAGCCCCCAAAGCATGAAATAGACATGTAACACCACCTGGATCCCCCATAGCAGGCCAGACCACTTTGGCGAGCACTGCTGGTCTGCCCAAATCTGGGTAATCAGACTGGGTATTCATTGGCTACATTTCAAAGCACTGCACTGCTTTCAGCCAGGATGAAGTGGGAGTGAACCCAGCTGCTAGCAGAGCTGCCACTCCAGGCTGAGAGCCAAGTACCAGCCACTGCCAGTGAAGACTGGCCCCTTTATTGAAGGGAGTTCTTCAGAGTCCAGCCACTGGCCCTGGGGAGGGAGAGAAGTCAGGGCATCCGGCTCGGGGATGGTCAGGGCTCCGCAGCTCCATCGCCAGCATCCTTTGGAAAGCAGCCTCTGGCTGAGACAGCCGGTTGGGGGGGCGCTCCGGGTTTGGCTGAGGCGTTCTAGTTGGAACAGAAAGGAAACAAGTGAGGCTGGGAGGCAAGGCCTTGGATTAGGCCCCAGAAGGATATGGCCATTTGGCATTTGGATAGTACTAACTTTTCGAAACCTCTCACCAGATCAGAGGTTAAGGATAAGGCGGTGGGGAGACAGTTCCCCTCTCCAGGGGAAGCTAGGGCTTGGCTAGCCTACCCAGTGGGCAGACCCCACCCCACAGGCCCAGCCCGGGGTGGGCACTAACCCCGCCACCAGCCGGCTCCGGGCGCCGGCGGCCCAGCTGCCGTAGCATCTCCTCGCAGGCGGCGATGGTGTCCAGGAGCTGCCGCTGCCGCTGCTCCACCGCGTCCAGCAGCTGCTGGGCGCGCTCCTCCCGGGGCGGCTGCGGGGGTGGCCTCCCGCCGAGCCCCAGCCCCGCCTTCCCGCGGTCCACGCCGGCAGCCTCCCTACCCGGGAGAGAGCGAGAGACAGACGGTCAGGGCCGGCGCTTGCGCGGGGTCCGAGCCCCTTCCCCCCTTCCCGAAGGGCCCCCTCTCACCCCCGTGACCAGTCTGAGCCCGGGCCCCATTCCATCTCCACCTGCGCGGCCCGACCACCGCCCCCCTTTCGGCCGCCCCCCTCCCCAGCGCTTCGTTAGGACTCCGCAAGGCTGCGCCCCGCCCCGTCCCCACCGGTCTCCTTCAATCCTCCTGGGGGTCGTGGTCCCTTTAAGCTGCCCGGCGCAGAGGTGGGGCCGAGTCTCCCGGGCCGGAAGCTGGCTAGGAGCGTCACTTCCTCCCGGAAGCGGGCCTGGGCGGATGTCTCCGGCACGCCGGTGCACGGGTATGAGGGCCGCGGTGGCTGCCAGCGTGGGGTTGGGCGAGGGGCCTGCTGGTTCCCGGAGCGGCCGTCTTCTCCGCCCGCCGAGCCCCGTTCTGCCGGCTCCCGGGGCCCGGCTATTGCGGCTTCCGGGGAGTGGGGCCGTGCAGGCCGCAAGCCCGGAGCGCGCCGGCTGGACCGAGGCGCTGCGGGCCGCCGTGGCCGAGCTGCGCGCTGGCGCCGTGGTGGCCGTCCCCACCGATACGCTGTATGGCCTGGCCTGCGCAGCGAGCTGCTCAGCGGCCCTGCACGCTGTGTACCGCCTCAAAGGCCGCAGCGAGGCCAAGCCTCTGGCCGTATGCCTGGGCCGCGTGGCCGACGTCTACAGGTGAGGCCGCCCCGACCCGGCCCCGCTGGGGGCGGCACCGCGGGAGGGGTTTCCGGTGACAGGCTTGGGAGACTGAGGCGCAGAGAGCGGGAGGGGCTTGTCCAGGCTCACCAAGGAATCCGGAACTGGGAACGTGTACCGAGGACTTAATCTGCCCCAGGCTCTGAACTACACGCTGCTAGGAGGCAGCGACACACGAGAAAGCCAGGGGCCGTGTTCCCTGGGCGCTTTTGTGCTAGTTGGGCAGGCTCTCAAGAAAAAGCAAACACAAACACAGTAGCTTAACTTAATAGCGAATCTCTTGAAGAAAATAAAACGTGGAGCTTAAACCCATTGTCAGCGATATCACAGCGGTGCAGCTGTTTTAGTCTCTGAGACCAGAGGCACGTGGGTGCCAAGCCAGCGGTGCGCCCCTGGGGCCCTGCTTTCTGCTCAAGCTTCTAGGGAGGTGAAACAGGGTGAGAGGCGGCTTCCATTGTAAACTCGAAGGATTCCTTTCCTGCGTTTGCCTAGAGTCTGGGAAAGGACCACCAGTCATTTTGAATGGATTTATGCTCCTGTGTTTCCCAGATACTGTCGTGTGAGAGTACCCGAGGGACTCCTGAAAGACCTGCTGCCAGGACCCGTGACCCTGGTGATGGAACGCTCGGAGGAGCTCAACAAGGACCTGAATCCTTTTACGCCTGTGAGTCAAGTTTTCTCTTGTGTCCCCAGACTCCGGGCCACTTGCTTTCACTGGGATCCAGGTCACACATACCCTCTACGTCTTCCAAGCTTTCTCATGATCCCCTTCCCCTTGCCTCATAGCTTGTAGGAATCCGGATTCCTGATCACGCCTTTATGCAAGACTTGGCTCAGATGTTTGAGGGTCCTCTTGCTCTCACTAGCGCCAACCTCAGCTCCCAGGCCAGTTCTCTGAATGTCGAGGTGCGTTTACCCAATCCTTCCCCTGGAAATGTCACCAGCCCAAACACTGTTTCCTATTGGATTACCGGGCGTGAGAGTCCTTGGGCTAACAGTGGGAAGGTTGCCCAGCTGGCAGGGAGGTAGGGGTGGGGCTGGGGTGGGAATATAAATTAAAGAAATTTGAAAGGTTTTATCAACGTCTGAAAAGCCAGGGGGAGAATGGTAGTTTCTTCTTACCATAGGAAAGCTTATGATAAGAACAATGTCTTCCTGTTTTCTTGGAGATGGCAGTTTTTGGAGAATACAGAGTTAGGCTGTAAATCTTCACGACAGTGCTCTAAAGAAAAATGAAGAAGGCCAAGCACAGTGCCTCATGCCTATAATCCCAGCACTTTGGGAAGCCCAGGCGGGTGGATCACCTGAGGTTTAAGACCAGCATGGCCAACATGGCAAAACCTCATCTCTAATAAAAAATACAAAAATTAGCCAGACTTGGTGGCTCATGTCTGTAATCCCAGCCACTCAGAAGAATGAGGCAGGAGAATCACTTGAACCTGGAAAGTGGAGGATACAGTGAGCCAAGATCGTTCCACTGTACTCTAGCCAGGGCTAGAGTGAGATTCTGTCTCTTAAAAAAAAAAAAAAAAATTTTAAAGCCCTGGCGCAGTGGCTCAAGCCTGTAATCCCAGCACTTTGGGAGGCCGAGGCGGGTGGATCACGAGGTCAAGAGATCGAGACCATCCTGGTCAACATGGTGAAACCCCGTCCCTACTAAAAATACAAAACATTAGCTGGGCATGGTGGCACGTACCTGTAATCCCAGCTACTCAGGAGGCTGAGGCAGGAGAATTGCCTGAACCCAGGAGGCAGAGGTTGCGGTGAGCTGAGATCGCGCCATTGCACTCCAGCCTGGGTAACAAGAGCGAAACTCCGTCTCAAAAAAAAAAAAAAAAAAAAATTTTAGCTTCCAAAAAGTTGAATCACTTGTTCTAGGTCACACAGCCATTAAGTGACCCAGATTTTTACCCAGTTTTTGACTCTTGACCCTGGTTCTCTTATCTCTGCCACAAGCCAGATCAAAGAAAGGACAATCCTGGGCTGGGCAGTGCCTCATGCCTATAATCCCAGCACTTTGGGAGGCCGAGGCGGGTGGATCACAAGGTCGGGAGATAAGACTATCTTGGCCAACATGGTGAAACCCTGTCTCTACCCAAAACACAAAAATTAGCTGGGTGTGTTGGCACGCGCCTATAGTTCCAGCTACTCAGGAGGCTGAGGCAGGAGAAGCACTTGAACCCGGGATGGGGAGGTTGCAGTGAGCCGAGATCTCACCACTGCACCCTAGCCTAGCGACAGAGCAAGACTCTATCTCAAAAAAAGAAAAAAGAAAAAAAAAAAGGACAATCCTAATCCTTTTTTGGCTAGGAACAAATGAGGACACAGAAATTTCACTTCTTTTTCTTATTAAGATGTAAAATAAGCTGATGGGGTTTTCCATGCCCAGACCTAGGGCAGGGCTTAGGGTTCTTGGCGAGTGAGAGTTCAGCATCCTTTCTCATTCTCAGAGTGCAGGTTTGACTTGGTTCTGGTGCCTGTACCCCAGGAGCAAGAATGGGGATGTGGCATGGGGTGGGGAGGTTTTTACCTTGTCAGCAATCATTTGACCTGTCCAACACAGTAACTGGTTTTTATGATCCCCTATCCCAAATTTCCAGGCCTAACTGAGACTGCAGTGTCTTCACAGGGGGTTGGGGAAGCTCTAACTTAGTTAACAATTCAGTCCATGATTCTAGGGGGAGTATCCTCATAGCCCAAAGCCTGAGTGCAAGTAGCAGGCAGTCTAACCCGTTCTGTTCTTCCCACCCTGATCAGAGTTGCAGTGAGATCCAGGAGCATAGTTCTAGAGCTGGAAGGAGGTGGAATCACTTGTTCCAGGTCACACAGCCTTTAAGTGACCAGATTTTTACCTAGGTTTTTTTTTTGTTTGTTTGTTTGTTTTTTTTGAGATGGAGTCTCATTCTTGCCCAGGCTGTAGTGCAGTGGCACCGTCTCGGCTCACTGCAACCTCCACCTCCTCGGTTAAAGTGTTTCTCCTGCCTCAGCATCCTAAGTAACTGGGATTACAGTGCCCGCCACCATGTCCAGCTAATATTTGTATTTTTAGTAGAGGTAGCGTTTCACCGTGTTGGCCAGGCTTGTCTCGAACTCCTGGCCTCAAGAGAGCCGCCTGCCCCAGCCTTCCAAAGTGCTGGGATTACAAGCATGAGCCACCAGGCCCAGCCTTTTTACCTAGTTTTTGACTTTTGACCCTGTTCTCTTACCTCTGCCGCAAGCTAGGTCAAAGAAAGGATCATCCTAGTCCTGTCTTGGCTACATAGATTAGAACAAATTAGGACACATAGGATCTTCTAGTCCAGCCCACTTGTCTGGTACACCTGGATAGAGTAACGTGCGTGCAGTCACACAGAGATATGAGGGGAAGTCCAGAGTTAGAGCCCATATTTCTGCCCAAAACTCTGATCGTTGTACTTCTGTTTCCCTAACTGAAGCAATGTGTGAAATTTCCTTTTGACATAGCAAGATTTTCTTTAAGTCCTAGGTAGGTGTTACTTGGGGTGCTAACTCAGGAGGGCTCCAAACCTCATAGGATGCAGTACCCATGGCACAGCTGACCTTAACTAAATGAAGTTCCTTTCTCTGCTTAGAGGAAGGTGCCTCCTGTGTTTCATTTGGTTTTGTTTTTTTGAGACGGAGTTTCGCTCTTGTTGCCCAGGCTGGAGTTCAATGAAGTGATCTTGGCTCACCGAAACCTCTGCCTCCTGGGTTCAAGTGATTCTCCTTTCTCAGCCTCCCAGGTAGCTGGGATTATAGGCATGTGCCACCATGCCCAGCTTATTTGTTTGTATTTTTAGTAAACATGGGATTTCTCCGTGTTGATTAGTCTGGTCTTGAACTCCCGACCTCAAGTGATCCACCCACCTCAGCCTCCCAAAGTGCTGGGGTTAGAGGCGTGAGCCACCGTGCCCAGCCTGGTGCCTCCTGTTTTAAGACTGTAAGGCCTTTGATGACCCTGTGTGCAGTATGACATTATTGCATATGCCAGGGATAACATCCATGCTCTTCCTTCTTCCTCTTCTCAGGAGTTCCAGGATCTCTGGCCTCAGTTGTCCTTGGTCATTGATGGGGGACAAATTGGGGATGGCCAGAGCCCTGAGTGTCGCCTCGGCTCAACTGTGGTTGATTTGTCTGTGCCTGGAAAGTTTGGCATTATTCGTCCAGGCTGGTAAGTACCTTCCCTGTGGCATGGGTAAATAATTTGAGAGGGGTTGGAGAGATGCAAAAAAGCTTTGACAAGATAAAGATGGTGCCTTCTATCTTGCCCTGAGGGCCGGTTTTGGATCAGTGGTAGTTGCAGTGGGACTAAGTTTGCTGGCTTTACTAAGATTCAAAAGGATTCACCAACCAGTTTGTTGAACAGGGCATAACAGGGCCAGCGAGTCTATGTACCTGCTCACCAGCCTCTGGTGGGCTCGGGACTTAGAGAAATCAGACTGGTAACTGTCCCGTTTCCTCCTCAGTGCCCTGGAAAATACTACAGCGATCCTCCAACAGAAGTACGGGCTGCTCCCCTCACATGCATCCTACCTGTGAAACTGGGAAGCAGGAAGGCCCAAGGCGTGGTGCTGGATACTATGTGTGTGTCCACTGACGACTGGCAAGGCCTCATCCGCAGAGGCCACTGGAGCTAGGGCACTAGCCTGACTTTAGGCAGTGTGTCTTTCTGAGTACTGTAGACCAAGCCCTGGAAGCTGATGGTTTAGCCTTGCACCTGGGGAAAGACTATTTATTATTCATAATTTCATATATCGGCCAAAAGCTGAATGGAAAAGTTAAAAACATTCCTAAGTGGCCTTATTCCGGTAAGTTTCTTCTGTCTGTTTGGCTTTTTAATTGAAAAGTAATTTAAATAACAGATGTAGAATCTAGTGAGAGCCTCTTTTCTGGTACATAGTGGCATTTAAGCTTCCAACCAGCTAGAAGTGCTGGTGCTGTTTAAAAAGTCTCAGGTAGCTGCGTGTGGTGGCTCATGCCTGTGATCCCAACATTCTGGGAGGCCCAGGCAGGAGAACTGCTTTAGCCCAGGAGTTCAAAATTGGCCTGGGCAACCTAGCAACACCCCGTCTCATAAAAATTAATAAGTAAAGAGTCTCAGGTGACCAAAGGCATGGGTTGGGCTCCTGAAGCTAGAACCACATTAGGTTAAAGACTGAAGAGCCACTGGGCCTGGTGGTGGTATGTATTATAACTGCTGGCGGGGAGAGCACCCTTTTTGGTGTGATAGTGGAATGCCTGCTCATTTGGCAGGGGTTGGGTCCAAACTGAAGAATATTGGGAAATCTCCACTATCCTTTTCAGCCAGGAACTCTTTTCTTATTTATTCATAAAATAAGTTACAGTTCACTATACCCATAGCACCTTTATTTAAATCCAGTGTTCTCCACAGCCTTTTGTCTATTTATATGTGTAAAAGTGTTAATTATTGTTGGGCATTTGAACTTTGTATTTCTTTAATGTAAAGAAATGCTGCTATTAAACATATTTGTAAATGGTTTATTTTCTTTTGAATTATTTCCTTAGTATTAGGAATATTAGGTCAAAGTAGATGAAGTATTATGGCTCTCAATATTGATTAGCCTTCAAAAGAACTGAGTTAAGTTACATTGCCATCAGCATTGTGTGAGAATGGCTGTCCCTGCCCCTGGCCTTGCTATGTTTAGTATTTTTCAGATTGTGTATGTGTGAAATGAAGCCTGTGTTTCTGCCTTCTGAAAATTACTGTAGGTCAACATCCAACCCTTTCATCTGTCCCTGCCTGCCTTGATTTTCCCAGCTAAGCCACAAGCCAGGTGGCCAGGCCTGCTCATCTCTCTGTTATCTAACAGGATGGGTGTCCTTGAGGTGACCATGGGTCTACTTTCTCCCTCCTTTTCCCTCTTACACCCTAGTTCCCAGAATTCTGGTTGTCTTTTCTTTTTGAGACAGAATCTCACTGTTACCCAGGCTGGAGTGCAGTGGCACAATCTTGGCTCATTCTAACCTCTGCCTTTCAGGTTCAAGTGATTCTCACGTTCGAGGGATTCTCGCACCTCAGCCTCCTAAGCAGCTGAGATTACAGGCATGCGCCACTATACCCTGCTAATTTTTTTTGGTATTTTTAGTAGAGATGGAGTTTTGCCATGTTGGTCAGGCTGGTCTCAAACTCCTGGTCTCAAGTGATCCACCCCCTTCTGCCTCCCAAAGTGCTGGGATTACAGGCATGAGCCACTGTGCCCAGTCATGTTGAGTAATTTCTTAACCAAGCCTCCTTGTTAGTGCTAAAGCCATAGCCAACCCAGCTTATACATCAGTTTGTCACAGAATCAAAGATCCGAATTGGTGAAGTCTTAAAGAGAGCAAAAGGAATGCTTACTTGAGAATACCGGTTTATATTTAATTACTACAAATCACAGTAGCACTGAACATGGCTCTAGTGAGTGGGCCTCAGTCAGTTCAGGCAGCTAAAGGGAGGGGGTTTCCTCATAGTCCTCTCCCTGGAGCTAAATACGCATCTGGGAAAAAGTAGGCTCTGGAGCACAGAGGTATTTTTTTAGAGGAGAAAGAACTGAACTCCCAGCACTAGGTAAAACTGCAAAAAAAACACTGTGCCCAGGCACTAGCTACAAGGCCACACCAGATCAGGAAAGCTGGGTCCTGTAAGCTTGAGGACAGGAACTGTTCCTGGGTCAAGTTCTCCCCAGCACCTAGCACATAGCAGTGTGCTTGATGAGTGAGTGTTAAATGAACCTGTGAGTGCTCAGGATGATTTCCTGATAATTGGGTCCAGGAATCTACTGGGAGGAGCTTGAACCTAGAAGTTCCTTTTTTGAAAGTCTCAAATATGGTTCCCTAGCTTAGAGAAGACATGATCTGGGAAGGAGTCCTGAGGAGAGGACGCAGGCTGGCAGAAGGGAACAGGGTGCATGCGAGCCCAGACCCTGACACCCTTCCGAGGGCGGTGACTGGGCGGCCACTACACAATACCAACCCGCTGCAGAGCTCCGAACTAGAAGGGGTTACAGGAAAGTGTTCCCAAGATGCAGAGCTGCCCTGGCCTGAGTCCAGTCACCTGCCAGCCTCTGCTGTTCCCATCACCGCAGAGCACCCCAGCACCGCATGCCTGAGGAACGGGCTCTGTGCTGCCCAGGCCTGACGGCCGAACCAGAGGCACCCAGCTGCTGACCTCTGACCTGGGAACGAGCGAGTGCTTACAACCTCAGCTGAACCCCACGTGGTGACCCCTTCCAGCAAAGCAAGGACATCAGCACCTCACGCCCCTGTTTACAGGCCCCTCACATGAGCCACTGCTCTTTTTCTTTGATGAAGTGCTCCGCCCAGCGGCGGGTCAGCTCCAAGTACAGGCTGGGCTGGTGAGGCAGGTAGTCCAAATACAGGCGGGTGGGTGTCTTCTTGGGAATGGCCTTCTCAATCTGGGTGCCCTCGTGCCACTCATTGAAGGAAGTGATGGAGACTATCTCGGGCCTCACTGTTAGGGCCGCCTGCAGGGCCGTCTCATAGTACTTGCCGTTGACCCTGTTGCGTGTATTGTGGTTGTTCCAGGGCCGGATGCTGGTGTCTATGTAGCCAGGCCCCACGCTGGGGATGAACATGAGGTTGTTGGCATCACAAAAGTTCTTCACAGCTTTCCAGTTCTGATGGGAAGAACCAAAGGAGAAACCGTTGGAGGCAAAGTAGGTGTACATGCCGTCAAATCCGGCGGCCAGGATGTCATGGGTGTGGCCCTCCTCCACCAGCAGTGCTATGAAGACCCCATCATAGGGCGTGTTGCGGATCGAGTGGGGCCCGTTTGGTGTCAGGAGGTGGGCCCAGGCCTCAGGGGACGTCAGGTATGAGTCGTAGATATAAAAGAGTGGGAGGCTCTTGCCCATGCTGTTCTTATAGCGGTAAAATGCACCATGGGAGCCATACCTGAGAAGGAGAAAGAAGAGCCTCAGCTGGATGGGACAGGACAGACTGGCCCACCTCTAGGACCTGCCGTGGATGAGATCTGGATGCCACACAGCCCAGTTCTGGAGCCAGTCAGTCTCCACAGTTGGACTCATATCCCTCTGAGCAAGAACCTGGCTCCCCTCCTTCCTCTCCCTAAGTGTCATTCCTAAGCTGCACTTCCCTACCCTTAGCCAAACCACCACCGTTTTTCATCTGGATTGCAGCAACAGCCAGCTAACTGGTCTCCAGGTTTCCATCTTGCCTCCCTATAACCCATTCATTATTCCCCTTTACTTGATCCGGCCCTGCCTACTCCATTCTTGCTCTTCACCCACCTATTACTCCCCATCTGGCCTTTCTGTCCGGATGTCACACGTCATACAAGCTTGTCCCATCTTACAGCCTTTACCTCTGCCAGCCCTCTCCATGGAATTTTCTCCTTGCCTCCAGATCTTTGCAGGCTGACCCTTTTTTTTTTTTTTTTTTTTTTTTTTGAGATAGGGTCTTGCTCTGGAGTGCAGTGGGCAATCTCAGCTTACTGCAACCTCCACTTCCTGGGGTTCAAGCGATTCTCCTGCCTCAGCCTCTCAAGTAGCTGGAATTACAGGCACCCACCACTATGCCTGGCTAATTTTTGTATTTTTAATAGAGATGAGGTTTCACCATGTTGGCCAGGCTGGTCTCAAACTTCCGACCTCAGGCAATCCACCTACCTCAGCCTCCCAAAGTGCTGGGATTACAGGTGTGAGCTCCCATGCCTGGGCTTTTTAAAAAAAAAAAATTTTTTTTTTTTTTATTCTTGAGACCGAGTCTCACTCTGTTGCCCAGGCTGGAGTACAGTGGTGCCATCATAGCTCACTGCAACCTCAAACTCCTGGGTTCAAGTGATCCATTCACCTTAGCCCCCTAAGTAGCTGGGACCACAGGCGTGCATCATCATGCCCAGCTAATTTTAACAAAAATCTTTTTGTAGAGATGGAGTCTCCCCATGTTGCCCAAGCTGGTCTCAAACTCCTGGCCTCAAGTGATCCTCCCACCTCAGCCTCCCAAAGTGCTGGGATTACAGGTGTGAGCCACTGCACCCAGCCCTGACTACTCATTCAGGTGTTAGCTCACCTGTTGTCTCCTGAGACTCACTTGACCTGACTAGCCACTCTTAAGTAGTTTCTTGGGCATACTCTAGCACAAAATCCTGTATAGATCACTGTTTAATTTTTCCCATTTAATTACTGTCTGCTCCACAGTACCTGCAACATACACTAGAAAGTAAACATTATGGCTGGGCGCGGTGGCTCAAGCCTGTAATCCCAGCACTTTGGGAGGCCGAGGCAGGTGGATCACAAGGTCAAGAGATTGAGACCATCCTGGTCAACATGGTGAAACCCTGTCTCTACTAAAAATACAAAAAATTAGCTGGGCATGGTGGCGCGTGCCTGTAATCCCAGCTACTCAGGAGGCTGAGGCAGGAGAATTGCCTGAACCCAGGAGGCGGAGGTTGTGGTGAGCTGAGATCGCACCATTGCACTCCAGCCTGGGTAACGAGTGAAACTCCGTCTCAGAAGAAAAAAAAAAACAACGAAAGTAAACATTATGAACTTAGAAACTTCGCTAGGCTTACTGATTACTGTACAACTGGGCTTAAGACAGTGCTTGGACACATGTAGGCACTCAATCCTTTTTTTTTTTTTTAAGAGACAAGAGTCTTGCTCTGTTACCAGCCGGGATGCAGTGGCATAATCGTGGCTCTCTGTAACCTCGAACTCCTGGATTCAAGTGATCTGATCCTCCCACCTCTGCCTCCCAAGTAGCTAGGACTGCTATAGGCATCCACTACTATGCCCAGCTAATTTTTTTTTTTTTCTTCAGTAGAGATTGGGTCTTGCTATGTTGCCCAGGCTGGTCTCAAACTCCTGGCCTCAAGCAATTCTCCCACCTCTGCCTACCAAAGCACTGGGAAGCTGGGTGCAGTGGCTCACACCTTAGTCCCAACACTTTGGGAGGCTGAGGTGGGCGGATCACCTGAGGCCAGGAGTTCAAGACCAGTCTGGCCAACATGGTGAAACCCCGTCTCTACTAAAAATATAAAAATTAGCTGGGAGTGGTGGTGGGTGTCTGTAATCCCAGCTACTCGGGAAGCTGAGGCAGAATTGCTTGAACCCAGGAGGCGGAGGTTGTAGTGAGCCAAGATTGTGCCACTGCACTCCAGCCTAGGCAACACAGTAAGACTTCATCTCAAAAAGGAAAAAAACAAAAAGCACTGGGATTACAGGCATGAGCCACCACGGCACCCAGCCTCATTCAATACTTTTTGAATGAATAAATGATGTGCATACACTATAGAAGCCACTTTCACATATATTAACTTGTGTGATTCTCACAAAAGTCAAAGGTTAAGAGGATTGCCTCATCACAGAGGCCACAGAACAGGAACTGAAACCCAGGCTGCCTGACGTTAGGCCCAGCACTCTCTTACTATAAAACAGCTTCTGGGAACACAGGCATTATGCCCCATGTCTCTTGACCTGCCCCTCCAAACCTTCTATCCCTTCCTCCATTTTGACCCCCACCAAAATTCCAGCCCCAAGAGCAGCCTTACGTGTCAATGATGTACTTGATGTTGTCATGTACAGTGATGTCATCCCGGCCCTTGTAGGGTTGGATGTGGAAGGCCACCTGCCATAAACAGAGGAGTAACTGGTCAGGTGAGTGTCTATCCAGGGGCCACGACATACCAGGCTCGGGATCTAACCATGGCCTAGAGGAGAGGCTGAGTTCAGAAGAGGGTCTGGCAATGGTGGGCACAGTAGAGATAGAGGCAGTGGCTGCCCTTCAAGGCCAAAAGAGGGGTGAGCAGTTTGCCCACTTCCCACATGTGGGAAGGGCATGTGGGAATCACTTTGGCGGGCTGTTACAGGGTGGCTAATAGGTTTCAACCTTGTTCCAGCTCCAAGTTGTTGGTGCTGGCTGCCTGAAACAGTGGAAGAAGTATGCTGAAGCTGTGTCAGTGGGAAACTGCTGTGATCTGTTAGATGTGTCGGTGGTGGAATTCCTGTTAGGAATGGGGAGTGAGGGTTTTCTACCTTCTCTATCATCTTTCTTCCTTCACCACAGAAGCAAATAATGACTTACTCGATTGGCCCATGTGGGGTAATGCTTCACCCAGCTCCGTCCTTCCTCTTGAAAGTGAGCCCACTTGCTGAGATCACCTGTCTACTCCTCGAGTTCCAGTACTGCCTCCCACTAGAGAGTTGAGTCTGCAGGTCCCTTTGGCTCTTGCCTACCCTTACTCCACCAAGGTTTACCACCTAACCTCTGTTACTATTTAACAAAAGTGATAATTATTTCGTCTGCCCTTGGTCCTATATTTAGTTTACTCAGTTCTCGTAGAATTCAAAAAACTAAGAGTAACATAGGCAGCACTTATCTGAACCCTCCCCCAAAACCACACGTGACACATATTTGTTTTCCCTGGGCTACTGCAAGAACTTCCTAGAGACACTAACCCACATGGCCTCTTCTTGAAGACTCACCTGGATGCTGTACTGATGGGCGGTGTCCAGAATGGCGGGCACCAGGTCATCTGAGGGTTCCCCGTTATCATCAGCCATGCCAGGTGGGTACCAGGACAGGACCAGAACGCCTGAGACGCAATACAGAGGCCACTTCAGAGACACACAGTATCCCCCTCAACAGAGATTTTTTTTTCCTCCACAAACGTCTCCAATTGCAAAAATGGTTTCTAAAAAACTGGAGCAAGCCTCCTGCCAGGTTCACTTCCTGCAGATGAGATCCCAGAGCCTCGCGCCCCGGAGCTGTCCACGCCCGCGGTGCTGAAGCGCAGCGGCTGCGGGAACCGTAGCGTGCCAGGCCGCAAGGGAGCCAGGCTTTAGAGTGCATTAGCAAGTAGAACAAAGGGAACGGGTGGACAGTGCCACACCCACCTGGTAGCCACAGGCCTACCTCTGAAGAAGAGAAGCACCCCTAACCCCTAATGTCCTGCATGGAGAAGAGCCCTGAGCATAGCCCATCTGTAAAATCTAGCAGAATTCAGGGACGAAACCTTTAACGAGTGAGCCTCCCCTCCCCAGCCTACAAAGGAGGCGCCCAGGGACGTTCCCACTAGCTGGGTGCTTGATGAAAAGCCTCTAAACCCCCAGCGCTACCCACAGCTGCAAATAGAGCAGAAGCCCTTGTGGAACACCAGCACAGTTTCCTCTCTGCAGCCAGCAAAAACAGGAAGGGCTGCTGCTCTACCCTGTACCTGCTGTGAAAGCAGAGGCCGCCCTAGGTTCCACTCTTCTGAATCCCAGATCCTGAGGGCCAGGGCTCCAGGCCTCACTTCCCATCGCCCAACAAATTTGAAGACTCTGCCTCTTCTGGCGCAAACTCCCAGCAGTTCCGCCCTGGATTGACAGGGGTCAAAGGGCCCAGGTGGGGGTCTGAATACTAGACGGAGGGGGCGGTGCCGCATGGTGGGCCCAGGATGAGTGGGAGGGAACGGCCAAGAAGCCAGGTTGGCGGGCAAGTGGAACCAAAGGCCCGGTGACACGACCAGAGGGAGCTGGGGTGTGGGAAGGAGAAAGGGCGAGGCTGGGGTCAGGGCCACCCGGGGTGGGGGGCGCTCACCGATGGCGGCTTCCTTGAGCTGGGTCATGTGCTCCCGCAGCACTTCGGGGTCCCGGGAGCTGTACGGTCCCAGCTCAGGGTAGAAGCTGGAGCCCAAGTCGTCTGGGGGGCTGTGGCGGCCGCGGGGGTAGCTGGCCGAGATCTTGGGGTCCCAGTGCGGCACCATGACGTGGTCCCAGTGAATGTAGTGACCCTCGCGCCGCGGGCTTCCGTACCACGAGTAGTAGAAGGCGTGCAGGTCCGAGTAGACGCGCAGGCTCTGCCCGGGGGCGGGCTCGGCCTCCGCGGGGACCGGCCCAGGGGAGCCGCCAGGGTCCGAGGTGCGGGGCGGCGGCGGCGGCGGGGGCGGAGCGGCAGGGGCCGCCGGGGCCCGGGCGGCGGGCGCGGGGGCCCCCTCTGGGCGTCGCTCAAAGGGCGCCAGCTCCAGACCCGGGCCCAGCGCCGGGAGTCCGTCCGGAGCCTTGAGCGTGCGCAGGCCCATGAGCGTGCCGAAGGCGAAGAGCAGCACCAGGAACAGCGCGATGCAGGCGCGGCGCCGCCGCCGGGCCATGGCCGACAGTGCGCTCCCGCGTCCGCCCCGCTACCTCCCCGCGCGCCGCGCCATGGCCGCCCGCCCGCTTCCCAGAGAGACTGCGCGCCCGGCGGAGCGCGGCGTGGGCGGCGCCCGGCCTGTCCCCGCAGTGCGGGCGGGCCCGGCACACAGGACGCCGGCGGCGCGGACCAAGTGGCCGCGAGCCGAGGGGGAACTGGACGCCGACTGCGAGGCAAGGCCCGGCGAACGGCGCCTGAGTCAGCCCGTGCGGCCTGCGGAGGAAGAGTCGCCTGGCTGCCTGGGCGGCGGGTGGCGGCGCCCGGCGCTGCGCGGCGAGCGGGAACTCGGGCCTTCCGGAGCGCGGGAGAGGGCGGCGCAGCGGCGGCGGCGGCGGCGGCGGCGGCGGGGGCGGGGAGGGGAGGAAGCGCGCGTCTGTGGTTCTTACCCCAAGAATTTCCATCTCCGTCCATCCCCCTTTACTCACTTCACTGGCCCCCTCCCTAAGGGTCTCAGTGTCACCTTTCTATTCCCAGGTCCCCCATCCCTCGGACCCCCTCCCCGACACCCCGCGCAGACCCTGAACCCCGGAGAAAGGGGCGTCAGGAAATCCCGAGGAGTCGAACCCTGCATTCGCTGCCCGGGGCCTGGCGGGCAGAGGACGACCGTGACTTGCACAAGGTCACACTGACCGGGTAAGGACGCGCTCTCCAGAGCTCGTTGCACTGCCCGGCCTGCCTGTTCTCAGGCCTGATGTCGTCTGGAGCGGTCTCTCCTGGGAGAACCTCCTAGAGTCGGGGAGGATTAAAGGAGATGGTTCCCATAAAGCACTTCCACGGGGCCTGAAAAGCAAGCACTCAATACATGTGCACCTTTCTTCCTGGGTTCTGGGCTCCAGAGGGTAGGCCGCGTCTTATTTACCTTGTTAGAAGCCAAGGGCTGCTGGAACAGGAGGTGACACTCACTTGCTAGCACCGTTTGAGTGAGTACCAGCCCCTGGTGTGATAGTCTGTAGATAAGCTTTTCACTCAATTGACGACGTTTACGGAGTTCCTACACTGCATTATTCATTGCTTCGTTTATTCAGACAATAGTTTTGTTTATCATATGCCTCCTTTGCTGGTCCGCGATGACAGCAGCTTTGTTTCACTGCATGTCTTCATGTCTAAAACAGAGCTTGGGATGATGGCGGGCACCCAGTTCTTACTGCTTAAGTAAAAAGAATTGTAGGGGACCCAGGAAGATGAGCAGCAAGGTTGGGAAGTGTTGCTAGACCTGCAACCCAGGAAAGTGAGCTTGAGAGACTTTATGATGGTGAGTGTGAATGAAGTGGAATGCCTCCAGCTCCAGGTGGCAGATGCCCCGTTCAGCCTGGCTTAAGGAATATGCCAGTGTATCAGCTTGCAAAGCAAGAAGCCCAGTGGCAGGGCAGAGTGGGTATATTCTCTGATCCAACAATGTCATTAGGAACCTGAGATGCTCCTGTGGCACTGCTCTACTCTCCCCACCATTGACTTCATATACAAAGCCAGCTCCCCTCATACCACAAAATGACCGCTGTGGCCATTATTCCTCTTTCCATTCAACAGGCATGGGTAAGACTGATTTCTCTTTCCCAGAAGTCCTAGACAAACATCTCCTTGAATCTCATTGGTCTAATCGGGTTTAGGCCTTTTTATGCTAGACAAATTGTTGCTGAGGGGGATAGAATTACCACGACTAGATTAGATTAAATTCGTGGAGTGGGTTAAACGTTGGAGAGAATACCATGTCTACTAAAGAATGAGATGACTCTGGGAATAGAAGGTGAGAAGAATACGGGTAAGGGTGGAACTCTCAGGAACACCAGCATTTTTGGGGACAGGCAGAGGAAGGAGAGAGCCTTAGAAGGAAACAGAATCATTAATGAGGATCTAAGAGAACTGGAAGTGGGTGGTGGTCGTTTTGGAAAACTAGTGGAAAGGTTTCTCCAGCTCCCAGTCATTCCACTATTTCTGGGAATGCTCTGAAACAATTGTGGCCCCCACTGGCCATGCCTGGGGTCCTTGACACTGACACCTGGCCATGATGGTTTGACCCAGGGCTAGAACTCTGACCCAAGATGAGCAAATGATACCATCTCATCTCCCATTGGACCAGTCATGGATACTGACCCAAAGGCATCAATTCCGATCATTTTTTGGGATTTTTCTCTCCGGTCTAGAGGAGAGATTTCATCTTCTTTAAAGATAATGCCATTTGCTCACGCCTGTAATCGAAGCACTTTGGGAGGCCGAGGTGGGAGGATGACTTGAGTTCAGGCTTTTGAGGTCAGCCTGGGCAACATACTGAGACCTCATCTCTACAAAAAATTAAAATATATCAATTAGACATCATGGCACATGCCTGTACTCCCAACTACTCAGGAGGCTGAGGTGGGAGGATCACTTGAGCCTGAGAGGTCAAGGCTGCAGTGAGCTGTGATCACACCACAGCATCCCAGCCTGGGTGACGGAGTGAGACCCTCTCTCAAAAACAAACACACAAGGCTGGGTGCGGTGGCTCACGCCTGTAATCCGAGCACTTTGGGAGGCTGAGGTAGGCAGATCACTAGGTCAGGAGTTCAAGACCAGCCTGGCCAACAGAGTGAAACCCTGTCTCTACTAAAAATACAAAAATTAGCCAGCATGGTGGTGCATGCCTGTAGTCCCAGCTACTTGGGAGTCTGAGGCAGGAGAATCACTTGAACCCAGGAGGCGAAGGTTGCACTGAGCCAAGATTACACCACTGCACTCCAGCCTTCAGTCTCACTCAAACAGAGTGAGACTTCTTCTCAAAAACAAAACAAAAGAAACAAAGAAATAAAAAACAAACAAACAAGCAAGATATTGCCACTAGAGGGAAGGAAAAAGAGACAGAGAGAAACTCAGTGGTACTGGAGTCCTGATTTCAGTTTTCCTGGCAGTCTAGTTGCAGTGCAAAACACTGGACCATTCTTCCAAGAAGTTGCCCTTTTATTATGAGCAAGACGAGCTGATGGAGCTGACTATTGATTGCCTATCAGTCTCTGACAAGACCGAGAAGGAGACTTGGGAACAGGAGGTAATCTGGGCGGTAATCTCAGGAAGGAAGAGTTAGGAATTGAAGAGAATGAGACAAGAACAAAAGAAAAACCAAACCAGTGGCGCACTGAGCATGTGGCTGCTATCAATAATGGGGCCTTAATTCTGTCAGGCCTTTTCAGAAGTATACAAATGCCTCGCAGAGTCAGGAGGTATAAGGCTGAAGCAATTATCTGCTGACTCCCCTCCTCCACTGGTCAAGCATTTTCCCTAGGGGAGTTAATTTCCTTGTACCCATGTACTTCTGGACTCCTGTTGCCAGGCAGGCTCCCAGGACATCAGAGAAGGTTTTGAGGCAGGTATAAAGAGAGACAGACACATTATTTATTCAAGTGGGATGCTGCCAGTGAAAGGAAGACTAGCTTGCACAGAATCATCGATCCTAGATATACTCATTTTTTCTAAGCTGTTGTAACAAATTACTATAAATTAAGCAGTTAAAACAGCATAAAAGTTTACTATCTCTCGATTTCTGTAAGTCAGAAGTCTAGGCACAGTATGGCTTAGTGGGTTCTCTGGTTGGGATGTCACAAAGCCAAAATTAAGGCGTTGGCAGGTTATGCTCCTTTCTGGAGGCTCTAGAAGGGATCCATGTCCAGCTCAATGGCAGAATTCGGTTCTACACAATTGCAGGCCTGAGGCCCCCATCTGCTTGCTGACTGTCAGCTGGGGGTCTTTCTCAGTTTCTAGAGGCCTGCTGCATTTCTCGTCTTGCAGTCCCCTTCTTCCATCTTCAAAGCCAGAAACATCAGAGCTTGTCCTTCTCACACTTTGGATCTCTCTGATCTCCCTTTCTACCTCTCTCCTACTTTCGTCCTCTGGTTTTAAGAGCTCGGGTAATATATTAGATGCCATCAGATAACCCAGGGTAGCTTCCCCTGTTTAAGGTCAATTATTGGCCAAATGTGGTGGTTCATGCCTGTAATCTCAGCACTTTGGGAGGCCAAGATGGGAGGATCACTTGAGCTCAGGAGTTCGAGACCAGCCTGAACAATATAGCAAGACACTGTCTCTACCCTACCCCTGCCAAAAAAGGGGCCAGGCACAATGGCTCACACCTGTCCCAGCACTTTAGGAGGCCAAGGTGGGCAGATTGCTTGAGCTCAGAAGTTAGAGACCAGCCTGGGCAACACAGGGAGACCTCATCTCTAAAAGTAATTTTTTTTTTTTTTTTTTTTTTTTTTTTTTTTTTTTTTTTTTTTTGAGACGGAGTTTCGCTCTTGTTACCCAGGCTGGAGTGCAATGGCACGATCTCGGCTCACCGCAACCTCCGCCTCCTGGGTTCGGGCAATTGTCCCGCCTCAGCCTCCTGAGTAGCTGGGATTACAGGCACGCGCCACCATGCCCAGCTAATTTTTTGTATTTTTAGTAGAGACGGGGTTTCACTATGTTGACCAGGATGGTCTCGATCTCTCGACCTCGTGATCCACCCGCCTCGGCCTCCCAAAGTGCTGGGATTACAGGCTTGAGCCACCGCGCCCGGCAAAAGTATTTTTTAATTAAAAAAAATTATAAAATATAAGGTCAACTAATTAGTAAATTTTATTCCATTCCACAAAGTCCCTTCACAACAGTAACTAGATTATTTTTGATTGAATGGCCAGAGGGCAGGAATCTTGGTGGGGGACATCATAAGAGTTCTGCCTAAAAACTGCTCCTAAAATTAGTGGGCCAAAGCAATGTGACACATGGCATTCAAGGAGTCTATGACACCAATACTATCAATTGGAATGTGTGTTCAGCCACAAATAAGAAGGAAAACAGCTAAACATGGCTTAAAGTGCTTCTCTAAACTTTAGTGAGCATGGTAATCCCTTGAGGATCTTGTTAAAAATATAGATCCTGATTCATTAGGTCTGGAATGAAATCTGCATTTTTTTTTTTTTTTTTTTGAGACAGTACTTCACTCTCACCCAGTCTGGCTTGCAGTGGCACAATCACAGTGCACTGCAACCTTTGCCTCCTGGGCTCAAGCTATCTTTCTGCCTCAGTCTCCCAAGTAGTTAAGACTATAGGTATATACCACGACACCTGACTATTTTTTTTTTTTTTTTTTTGCTAGATATGGGGCTTTACCATGCCACCCAGGCTAGTCTCAAATTCCTGGGCTCAAGCAATCCACCTGCCTTGGCTTCCTGTAGTGCTGAGATTACAGGCATGAGCCACTGTGCCTGGCTGAGTCTGTGTTTCTAACAAGATGCCAGGTGATGCTTATTTGACGGGTCCTGAGACTGCATTGT